GCGATTTCCGCTGCACTGGTCAGCGGTCAAGCAGAACGGAAGTGGTTTTTTGCATTCCCTCTTAATGGGAACTTTCCAATTTGGTTTTAAACTAAAAAATCCGGAATTGTAGCTGTTAATTAAACAATAAAATTAATAAAGGAAGTCTTAGGGTTCTTGAAAGTCCAGAAACCAATACTCTAAAATATGTTTAGAGAAAGCCTTTCGTGGAATGAGTTTTTTATATGAAAACTTTCATATTTTCCCGCCCCACGCAAATTGTTTGTTTGTGAGCGATAAATTAACATTCATTAGCTTCATTTGCGTATCTTTAAGCCGAGAATTTAACATTGCATTTATTGCTGTGAGAATTGTTTTACAAGTCTTTGGGCCAGCGACACTTGCTCAGATCTTTAGCTACACCGACCAACGCCTGAGTTATCATCTCTGCCCACATTCAATACTAACTAACGAACGACCCACACAGTGTTTCCCCAACTAATTTCACTGAAATGTCGACAAAAAAAATATAAAATATAAAGAAACACACAGGTTACGACGACGAGTGTGGGTCGAGATCCGAGATCCATTCATCGACAAGCCCGTGGAAGTGGCAGTGGTAATCGAATGCCTAACTCCAACCCAATGCGACTCACTCACACCCACTGCAAAACGCCGATAATTTATGCCAAAAGCTTGACCAATTGATACAATTTGTGTAAATGATCCATTGATCCACTGGCCATGCCGCCGCCGCCTCTGCTCCGAGTGAACCCCCGGCTTTTATGGGGGAACTTCCGGTGCAATTAAACGGCCAGCGTTGTCGTCGTTGTCGTCGTGTTAATTGTCCGCACACGTCCCCTGACTCATGCACGTGGGCCATGTAATATTAGGAACAATTCAGGGATTCAGCACGTGACCTGTGACCTGAATTACAGGGCAAATGAGGCACTTGGAGGGGGTGGCACTTGTCAACTGAACTCCTTCTCTTGAAGAAAGGATACAAGCCATGAGCTTTGTTTGGTTCTTGAAAACAAATAAATTCCAGCAAATACTCCTAGAATAATCTTTTATATTTTTATAGAAACACTACTTTATTTTATTGTACACATTTATGAGTTGTTTATTTTATAAAGCAACCTCGAGTTTTGAAAGTTTTCATGTTAAAATCAAAGTTGAATTGCTTCAACTGGAATAGCAATTAGCTTTATATTTTTATTGGTCTCCCAACGAAGATTGGGCAACCCATTTACGACTGTTTTAGACAGTAAAAATAGTACTAGATCGAATGAATTTAATGCTATCGCTTTAATGTATTCACCTTTTAAGTGATTTGTTAGAACCCCGAACCGAACCGAACCACTATTACATCCGATCCAAGCTTAGTAACTCCACAATCCCCTTGTAACTTGTCTTCATTCAGACATCAACACATAATCTGTCTTTAATGATCGCAAACTCAGCTCAACTTGAGCTCACGAGTGCCAATCGCGATTTAATGATGTCTCGGCTCAATGGGATTTTGAATGTCTTATAGAGATCTTCATCGTTAAAATGATTTCACCCAACGATTGCAGATTGCCTCAGTGGCTGCCCTGGTCTGGTCTGGCCATTTTCTTTTTGGGTTTTTGTTTTATGACACCTGCATGATTTTCACATTTTCCACCCGCTGCAGTCTCCCAATTCGGGAAGACTCTCTTCGCGCAATTACCGCGGCTTGTTACAGGTTTTTCGGTGTTCGGCAGCCGCGCAAATTTACTATATATATCTCTCTCTTCTATCCTATATATACAAATTTGGAGTCGTGGGAATTGTTTCTGCACAACTCTGTGTTTGTGTTTGGGTTTGGGTTTTGAGTTTGATTTTTGCTCAGCGTGGGAAATGTTTTTGCGGAACGACGAAGATCTGCCTGCCTTGCAGCCTGCCTGCTGAACGGTAAATCAGGTTTTTCCTTTTCGCCAAACAACAACGAAAATTTGCCTTTAACTGCAACTGCAACTGCACTCTATGATCGTTTACAGTCGATCGCTGGATGGTGGACGTGGATGCGCTCTGGCCAGGCTTTTTGGGAACCTTTACGGCAGAGCGGCTAACTCCAAACGCACGGCCACCGAAAGTTTGAACTTTTCATCTCGACGATCGCGAAATTATGTCGAAATTAGCTTGACGATGATGATCTGATTGCCTGGGAAAAAAAGGGTTTTAGATTGGGATTTTTGTCTTGATTCAGAGAAATCTAACAATAATTAGCAAACTTACTATACCTAATCACCATATAGGAAAACGGTTATAATTTCTCACTTCCTTTACATTCCTGATTACTCAATTAGTTTGACTCTCTTTTTACAATGGTTAATTTATATGATCACACATCCCCCCTCATATTCCCAATTGTTTCCAGCATCATTTTCATATATTTTTATACAATTATTTATCCTCTCCGAGAGGAGATCATTAAAGCCATTTCATGGAGACAATCGACAAGGCAGGGCAGTTAATTAATTATGGCTCCCGGCTAATTGAAAGTATCAACGCGTCTTGGCCAAGCACCGTTTCGATTGCAATTCCGATTCCAATTCCTACTCCAGGCTTTCTTTCGTTTCGACTTCAAGGAAAAAGCGAGGCGCGTATTTCATTCATTCGAAGCCAATGAATACTTGTACTAGCCTAGCCGTCGCAATTCCAGCCATTCAATCCATTGACTGACGACTGTCTGGGCCTGGTCCGGTCTGGCCTGGTCTGGTCTGGGCCGATAAAAAGTAGGCGTCGTCGCCGGGACAGTACAATAACATCCTGCAGCTAATAGGCCCGATATGCGGCACGTACGTGATTTCCTACTTCCTCGTCGCGGTCAATTCATAAATATGGATGTTCCAGCGGCTCAAGCAGACTTCTTCTGGCCCAATCGGTGGCTATCTCCACCGCCGTTGAGCGCCGCCGTTTGGGAGCCACCGGAAGCTGGTGTGGTGCTCCCTTTCCACTTCCTGTTCTGCTGCTCCGGCTGCGGAAGCACTTGAGGATTGAGTACGTTTGGAAAGAAGGAAGAAGGAGAGCCCAGACAGCGGTTCAGATTTTGTGTGCAAGTCATTGGCCCTGGCTTAGGATTAAATTTCAACCCCGAAGACGGACTCGGGACTCGAATCTTGCAGGGAATATGTTGTATCTTGTGTATATCTCAGTGTCTTGTCTTGTCGAGCTGTAGTTGTGTAGTTTTTTGGGCGAAATTTGAACAGCTGCCGTTTGTGAGAGGAAGAGCGACGAGCAACCCCCGAATGCGATCGAAATCCCCGGCTGGAAACTACCCCTGGAACGAACACAAGGGACATTCGCTGGCCCTTTAGGGGTTGTTTTACCTGTTCCAGCTTCGTACAGCTGCTTTCTTCTGACCTTCCCATGCGTCCTTCTCCTTGCGCCGTTTGTCGTATCAAGAAAAGGGACAAGGAAAAAGGACAGCTGCCACATGCCGCCTTCGGTCGGTTGCTCCATAAAGCAAACACATTGATCTCGAGTGCCACGCGCCGCATATCAACATGGTAATCATCTCGGCAGGTCCTTCTCCTCCATTCTTATAACCTGGGTAGGCATAACCTTATTTCTTTTAGTTTTTTTCTGTTTTTGTTCCAAGCAACTGTTGGCATGCCGCCGGAATCGTCTGATGTTGGCCATGCCATCAGTCTGGGCTAAGAAAACCTGTCGCCATCCCAAGACTCCTCCTCGGGTAATTATTTATATTGGGCCATATGGATTGGTTATAGGCTTTTTTCTCTGTGGTAATTGTCAGCAGCTGCTGATATGTACTTATACATATATGTATGTATATGTATGTGGATTTGCAAGGTGCAATAATTATGCCAATTTCGGGAATATATTTTAAGGATTCCCCAAGTCTTGCTTGTGTTACTAAAGTGCTTCTCCCCATAGAAGTGGGGAATTTACAAGCAGCTGACATTACGTACATATTTATACCTTTTCAGGGTGTTATATCTCTAGAAAGAGGTATAAAACGCAGTGAAGGAAACATTTCCGACCCTATAAATCATATATATGCTTGATTGGAATTAAGAGACGGATCGATTAGGCCATGTTTTCCCGAAAAGAAATGCATTTTTGGCCTAGTTATGATCGTTTTTCAAGAGCTAAGGATATATCAACTTCAGCCCGCGAAAGTTAGTTTCCTTTCTTGTAGAAAACATAAACTATTTAATAAGTTTATTTATGGAACTCTTTTTCATAAACACGGAATACATTCTATCAGAAACCAATAAATACTCCATAAGATTTCTCCTATAACAAGGTTTTCTTGATAATTCAATCCTAACAATATTTAAGGAACTCCCCGAACCTATACCAATATCTTTTCTTCTCTGAAATATTTCTTGTACTTCACACGTTTCTGATTTAGAATTTTCCAAGAAAATGCATGAGCAGCTGACGATGACCATGGCAAATCCTTTTCAGAGTCCATCTATTGATTGGTTTTGTGAAGGCGTTTACAGCATTTCCGAAGGCATAGTTTAATAATCTTCAATCCAGTCACGTGCCCCTGGACTTGAAAGCCGACTAAATTTGGGTCTTTGGGTTGGGGTTATTGACTCGACTCTCCTCGAAAAGATCAGGTCGGAGCTCCTGCGTAATTCGATCCCCAGCACATGGCTGGTTGTGTATACTAAACTGTTGAATTTTCGGCTACCTGAAGCAACAAATAGAAATCTTTTTTCGTAGATGCGTAACTCGATACGGTGTGTGAGCTGGCATTCAGAAAGAAAGATCGGAAAAAGATTTTAAAACAATGTAGCTGAAGATGAAACAAAATAGATAACTGGATTGTGGGAAGGTTATCGTTAGCTGAATGCGAAATAGGTGACTTTGGAAAGATTTATGGGGGAGAAAACACAAAACTTACCTTGAGCAATACTTCTATAAAGCTTTTACTTGAGCAATCCTATTATAAATGAATCATTATTTAGCCGTAACCTTACCATTTCCCGCAACTAACTGAATGTTCTCTTCTCTCATTGCAGTACGCCGCTCGCCCTCATCCTGTCCTGGCCCCAATAACCTGCCCCCGCTGCAATTCCACACCGTGCATGGTGACAACATCCGGCTGTCGCGTGACGGAACCCTGGCCCGTCGCTTCGAGAGCTTCTGCCGGGCCATCACCTTCTCCGCCCGTCCTGTGAGGATCAACGAGCGGATCTGTGTGAAGTTTGCCGAGATCTCGAACAACTGGAACGGTGGCATTCGCTTTGGTTTTACTAGCAACGATCCAGCCTCCCTGGAGGGATCACTGCCCAAGTACGCCTGTCCGGATCTAACCAACAGGCCCGGATTCTGGGCCAAGGCCCTGCATGAGCAGTACTGCGAGAAGGACAACATCCTCTACTACTATGTCAATGGAGCCGGCGATGTGATCTACGGGATTAACAACGAGGAGAAGGGCGTGATACTGTCCGGCATCGATACACGGGGCATGCTGTGGACGGTGATCGATATCTATGGCAACTGCACGGGCATTGAGTTCCTGGACTCCCGCATTTACATGTACCAGCAGCCCACGGCGACGCCTGTGCCTGCCCAGCAGCAGCAGCAGCAACAGCTGGCCCAGCCGGCTGCCATCGCCTCCTCCGGCCTGATGGCGCATCATCCGCACCAGCAGTCGCGCCGATCCCTGCCCGGCCACAGTGGCGGAGCCATCGAGCACGACCTGGAGCGCCACGTGATGCCTTCGCTGCAGTCGCTGCACTTGGCAGGCAACGGGGGTTCCGTCAGCAGCGTGGAGCAGGCGGCCATAGCCCATGATCTGGCCAATGGCCTGCCACCGCTGCGATACAATGCCAACGGCAGACTGATACCCGTGCCCTTCCACAACACCAAGGGCAGGAATGTGCGGCTGTCTCAGGATCGCTTTGTGGCCTCGCGCACGGAGTCCGACTTCTGCCAGGGCTACGTTTTTACGGCGCGTCCGATTCGCATTGGCGAGAAGCTGATCGTCCAGGTCCTGAAGACGGAACAGATGTACGTGGGTGCCTTGGCCTTGGGACTGACCTCTTGCAATCCTGCGATGCTGCAGCCCAACGATCTGCCCAACGACTCCGATTTCCTACTGGACCGTCCGGAGTATTGGGTAGTCAGCAAAGACATTGCGGCTGCCCCTCAGCGTGGCGATGAGATCGCCTTCTTTGTGGCACCCAACGGCGAGGTGAGCATCAGCAAGAACAACGGCCCTGCCGTCGTGGTGATGCATGTGGACCAGTCGCTCCAGCTGTGGGCCTTCCTCGATGTCTACGGTTCAACGCAGTCGCTGCGCATGTTCCGCCAACAGCTGCCCAACATGGTGGCGTATCCGTCTCAGCCGCAGGTGAATGCCAGCAGCTCCTCCTCCGCCTGCAATGCCGCCGCCGCTAGCTCCAGTTCGGGTTCCCGCATGCTGCCCATGACCGAGTCGATGAGCAGTCTGAATGCCGGAGCCACGGCCAAGCTGCTGCACCACCATCCCTCTCAGTTGAGCGTGGCCCAGAGCACGAGCACCTTGGCCTCGGCCGGCGGAGCTAATGGCAGTCGGATGATCAGCATGCCGTCCAACGGAGACATTCTCCAGATACAACCCAATGGCGGTGGCACCGTTCTGGTGGTTAACCTGCCACCGGCGAGCAGCTCCCACGATATCAATGGCCAGCTGACGGCCAGGCCCAGCACGACCACGGTTACTTCCAGCGGCATCCTGGCCGGAGCCTGCTCCAGCGGCACTCTCATCAGCACCACCAGCAGTCAGTACATTGAGGTGAGTGTTTAAATTAAATCTCTATGATCGTATACGAATCTAAACCGTTTTATTTCCTTACAGCCCGTTACCAACAGCACGAATAATGCGGCCAACAAGTGGAAGGACAGCCTGAGCGATCAGCAGAGCACGGACTCCAGTGCGGAGTGTACCATCTGCTACGAGAACCCCATCGACTCGGTCCTGTACATGTGTGGGCACATGTGCATGTGCTACGACTGCGCCATCGAGCAGTGGCGCGGGGTTGGCGGTGGTCAGTGTCCGCTGTGCCGAGCTGTCATCCGGGATGTTATCCGCACCTACACCACGTAGGAGGCATCGTGTTTCCTAGCCAAGAAGCAACCCTTACTCAAAATCAAATGCATTTGAACGCAATCAAGCGCAAAAGTAATACACTATTTTGGAGAGAGACAGGCGATCAACGAGAGATTGAAATGATAGTCTAGACAGAGTTATATAGTGGGGAAAGCGAACCTATCACACCTTATTTATATCGCTACCATCTACCAGTATATACATATATGTTTAATTTTTTTGTGATGTTATGAGTAAGTGCGCCCGAGAGCCAAAACTATGTACTTTGTTCAATCGAGACTTCTCTACGATTTTCAATTTTTTTGCAAGCTCTGAACAGCGCGTTCGTACTAAGTATAAAACCAAAGTATTGTCTAGGAATTAATTGTATTTGAAGTTGGATTTTAATTGATTTATAACAGTTGTTGCAAATTTTCCTTAATTTTTCCTATTTACTATATGTCTAAATTCCAAACGATGTGCAAAATTAACGAAAAACATTATTTAATTGGCGAATAATAATCATTTTGGTGCTAAATGTTTTGAAATGCAAAATAATAAAATTGTTAACGGATTTGAAAAGTTATGTTTAAGCTTTGCAGCAACTGAAGAGGTCCTTATTTTGGCCAAGAGGATAAAATAAATGCAATTATCGACTACTTTCCAGCAGGGAAACGCTTAAGACTTTCCTATATAAACACACTCAACTCAAATATATCTGCAGCACAAATTGTTGAAAGAAGAGAAAAGATTGATCAAAAACGAAGAAATACTTGTGCACGAAAACCAAAATATAAACTGCAAGAGCGTGTTAAAATCTAATGTTAGCTAGCCCTAAGTACTTAAGTTAATTTCTAGTCAACGAATTATGCTGAAGTTTAATCTAGATCGCGGTTCATAAAAAACACAATTAAAGACACCACACAATGACGTATTTTGAGCACGCCTAAGCAATTTTAAGTGGAGCCGCGCATTTTAAATTACACCTAAGTAGTGCACGTATTTTAATGCAGACTTATTATATAATATACCTTACTTTAAACATAGAACAAAAGACTTGTATGTTGTACCAACAGCTTGAAGGAAAATATGGAAATATGAGCAACGTGGAGTAAATCAAGCATGCAGTTAGAAAATTGCCAATAATTAATTAACAAACAATACCAAGCAGAACACAAACACGATGAAGCGGAAAACCTTTACCTAAGATTGTATTAAAAACACTAAAAGAAATCGTAATACGCAAAGAACACAAAGAACGAGAATATGTGCGAAGTGGAGAGCGCAAGCTTACTATTTTTGTTACAAGTATGAATCCGGATAGGAATAAATGGAGACATGTTATTGCCACTATTAATAATAAACTTTTAATTTTTTAATGAATCCTAGTACGTAACACTCGATACTACGCCTAGTTATGACTAAACGAATAAAAAATGTATTTATGAAATTATATTTGATATATGTAAGACAACGCAATGCTGTAATACCATTAAATACTGACCACAATATCAGAGAAGTGCCCTTTGTTTTATTTGTAAGTGCGGGAGGACTATCTATGTTATTTATTAGATAAAGTTTGTGTACCCTTGCAGGGTACTATAATTTTGAGTATGTAGATTTATTAACCAAACAAAAACTAACACAGGACCGGTGTCCGAATTTAAATGAATGCCTTTTTGGCTTAGTTATGTGTTTTTTAAGCTTTGATTTTTTGACATAATTTTCATATAAATATATTAAAAAATATCGACTCAAAAAATGTTATTACAATCTTTGTCAGAAGCGTAAATCGCAGTGAAGCAGTCATTTCCGACCCCATAAATCATATATATTCTTGATCAGCATCAACAGGCGAATCTTTCTAGCCATCTTCGAGGGAAACAAATTTTTTTCGATTTTTGTAACATTTTATTATCATTATCATTAAAATTGTAAAAAAACTGTATTTTTTAAGATTGAAAATTGAGTGTGGAAATTTATTAACCTGGCAAAAACTAACTCAGCACCGTTGTCCGAATTGAAATGGATGCCTTTTTGGCTTAGTTATGTGTTTTTTAAGCTTTGATTTTTAGACAAAATTTTCATGTAAATATATTAAAAAATATCGACTCAGAAAATGTTATTACAATTTTAGTCAGAAGCGTAAAACGTAGTGAAGCAGTCATTTCCGACCCCATAAATTATATATATACTTGATCAGCATCAACAGACGAATCTTTATAGCCATCTTGGAGGGAAACAAATTTTTTTTCGATTTTTGCAAATTTTTATAAGGGGTTACATCGTTAAAATTGTCAAATTTTTAATATTTCTTGAATTTGAAATTGAACATGCATTAAAAATTATGCTTTTTTGGGCTTAGCTATGACTTTTATAAATTTTTATTTATATATTTCATATTTCTTTAAATTTCATACATTAATTACAAAAATTAATACGTGTTTCCTCACCTAGGTTTGTGTCCGTGCTGTTCTTATTGTCACAATCGGCAAAGCCGTTGCCGCTAAATTCGGTACTTTGCCAATTTGAACTGCTTGGCTTGCTTAATTTTTGTAACTACTAACATTAAGTACTGCTTTATAAAGCAGTTTGTTGTTCGGCACTCTTATCGATATACCGATAGCCAATATCGATAACCAGGGCTATTGACTTTCTTCCACCTCTAGTAAACAGATTTTACAACAAAAAAAAGTGGAAGAAAAAGTAGTGATTTTATGGTAAAACGCTAAACAACGCGCATAAAAATACCTGATACGGAGCTTGGGTGTGCTAAAAGCCCACGCACTCGAACCAATTGTAAGTGGAGTGATGAAAAACGGTCTCAAAACACAATTTTCGGTCCGTTTGCAAGTGCGCACACACACAGGCACGACGTAGACAAAATACCAACCACCGTTCCCCCTCCACCCGCGATTCCACGAACCTCACCTTCGTCGCTTGCTCTTCTCACTTTTCCAGAGCACAGGCGACCCAAATTACGACGAACCCGCTTTGCTCGATTGCTAATTACGCATTCCGAGCATGGACGAGGCCAACATACAGGACAAGGAGCGGTTCGCCAGCCGCGAGAACCACTGCGAGATCGAGCGGCGGCGGCGCAACAAGATGACGGCCTACATTACGGAACTGTCGGACATGGTTCCCACCTGCAGTGCCCTGGCCAGGAAACCGGATAAGCTTACCATTCTGCGCATGGCGGTGGCGCACATGAAGGCCCTACGTGGCACTGGAAACACTAGCAGCGATGGCACTTACAAGCCCTCGTTCCTCACCGACCAGGAGCTGAAGCATCTCATTTTGGAGGCGGCCGATGGATTCCTCTTTGTGGTCTCTTGCGACTCGGGACGAGTGATCTATGTTTCCGATTCGGTAACCCCGGTTTTGAACTACACGCAGAGCGATTGGTATGGCACTAGCCTTTACGAGCACATTCATCCTGACGATCGTGAGAAGATCCGGGAGCAGCTGTCCACACAGGAGTCGCAGAATGCCGGACGTATTCTGGACCTGAAGTCCGGCACCGTGAAGAAGGAAGGTCATCAGTCTAGCATGCGACTGAGCATGGGCGCCAGGCGTGGATTTATCTGCCGGATGCGCGTGGGCAATGTTAACTCGGAGTCCATGGTTTCCGGACACCTGAACCGCCTCAAGCAGCGCAATTCCCTGGGACCGTCACGCGATGGCACCAACTATGCCGTGGTGCACTGCACGGGATATATCAAGAACTGGCCGCCAACGGATATGTTCCCCAACATGCACATGGAGCGCGATGTGGATGATATGACCTCGCACTGCTGCTTGGTGGCCATCGGTCGTCTGCAGGTCACCTCGACGGCTGCAAACGATATGAGCGGGTCGAACAACCAGAGCGAGTTCATCACGCGCCACGCCATGGATGGCAAGTTCACTTTCGTGGACCAGCGGGTGCTCAACATCCTGGGTTATACGCCCACCGAGCTGCTCGGAAAGATTTGCTATGATTTCTTCCATCCGGAGGACCAGAGCCACATGAAGGAGAGCTTCGACCAGGTGCTCAAGCAGAAAGGTCAGATGTTTTCGCTCCTATACAGAGCCCGGGCCAAGAACTCGGAGTACGTGTGGCTGCGCACGCAGGCCTATGCCTTCCTCAACCCCTATACCGACGAGGTGGAGTATATAGTGTGTACCAACAGCTCCGGAAAGACCATGCACGGTGCTCCATTAGATGCGGCAGCAGCTGCTCATACACCCGAACAGGTGCAGCAACAACAGCAGCAGCAGGAGCAGCATGTCTACGTGCAGGCTGCTCCTGGAGTGGACTATGCACGCCGTGAACTGACGCCAGTGGGCAGTGCCACCAACGACGGCATGTACCAAACGCACATGCTCGCCATGCAGGCCCCGACACCACAACAGCAACAACAGCAGCGACCAGGATCGGCCCAGACCACGCCGGTGGGCTATAGCTACGATACTACGCATTCGCCGTATAGTGCAGGCGGCGGAGGACCTTCGCCTTTGGCCAAGATTCCAAAGTCTGGCACCTCACCCACGCCAGTGGCGCCTAACTCCTGGGCAGCGCTTCGTCCCCAGCAGCAGCAACAGCAGCAGCAGCCCGTGACCGAGGGCTATCAGTATCAGCAGACAAGTCCGGCCAGGTCGCCGAGTGGCCCAACCTACACACAGCTGAGTGCAGGAAACGGAAACCGTCAGCAACCACAGCCGGGAGCATATCAGGCGGCTCCACCGCCACCGCCGCCCAATGCGCCGGGCATGTGGGATTGGCAGCAGGCCGGCGGCCATCCGCATCCACATCCGCCGCACCCAACGGCACAACATCCCCATCATCCGCATGGCCATCCCGGCGGACCGGCCGGGGCAGGAGGGCAGCCGCAGGGCCAGGAGTTCTCCGATATGCTACAGATGCTTGATCACAGTGCGCCGACCACGTTTGAGGACCTGAACATTAACATGTTTAGCACGCCGTTTGAGTAATATTCCATTCTCTTCCCCCAATTCCCACTCCATCCCTTTGTGTCTCTCTTTTAACCTCTTCTCAAGTGCAATCCATCTTAACATTGTTGAAATATTTCAGCCCGAGCATCAGCATGCAAATTGTAATCTCATAAATAGCCTTTTAAGTACATAACCGGCAGTCACGTACGTGAACACACGACTATGATATCTTTATTTTTGTGTGTTCTACGTCTTCGCCACACCGTCACCTCCCATTTCCCGAAGAACCCGCGCTTAGCCCGCTCCCGTTGGCCTGGCAAAGTATTTACAATTAAAGTTTTACGATTGGTCGCCGCTAAGGGGATATGTATATCCACACAGCGCTATATGGCCTTTGAATTCTAAACTTTCTCATCGATTCTATGTAGCATTAAGGTTCATGTGTGCAGAGTATTCTCTTGTATTTCACAGTATATACAAACATATATAAATATACAATTCGTAGACTAATATACAACAAATTGATAATTGTAAGCAATCACAAGTGCACCGCCACCTCCACTGACACCACTTCCACGCCAGACCAGCCATTAACATTGACACCATTTCCCATTACTTTATGGCTCATTTTCCGGGCAATGCAAACACACAGCATACACACAAATTCGCTTCGTTGAGCAGCTTTTCTCCCTTTGTCATTAATTGCAATTTATGCAGCGACAACGAAAATGATAGCAAAAACTAGCAAGCTCAAATAAAGTGGCGCTCAAGAAATTAAAACACAATCCCCCATAAAACCCATTTGATAACAGCAAGTTCAAACATAAAATTAGGTTTAATTAAGCCTCCACTTCAAGCAAAATCTTTAGTCGCTAAGTTTAAATTTTTATAATTAAGCTGCAACAACAACATCGATGATGATAATAATGCTTAGAACTTTTCGATATTGACAGCAAATATTTCGGTTTTTTAATGAAAATAAACTAAATGTACTACAAAACTATGGGAGCTTATGAATATTTATAGGGATTCGATTGCTTCGGCCGATTTTACCTCATTACTGTCACTGCTGCCGCCGCCGCTGTTTTGCTGGGCAAGTGCCGCCGCCCTCTTAAAATCTCTAAATCTGGGCCTCTTGGCAGGACTATCGACGGACTCTGAGCCATCGGAGGATATCCTGCGCTTATTTAACACACTCTTCTTTTCGGCCGGCGCATACTCTTCATCCCCGCTGGGGTCGCTCTGCTCCGCCTTGATCTGATCCTCCCGCTTCTTGCGCACATTCAGCCAGGCCATCATGGTCTTGTTCATTGCCGGCTTTGCAGGATTGGCGGCCAATTCGATGGGCTTGTTGCACTCCTCGCTCTTGTTTCGGGAGTTGTTCACCATCTTGGCCACCCGATGCCACTTGAGAGAGGTAGCTGGACGCAAGGTGGCCAAGGCCTCCGAGTCAGTCACTCGCTTAAAGTCCAGCCAGTCCTTTAAGCAAAAGAAAGGTTTATATTTTAAGATTAAACTCCTTTCTACTTTTGAGTAGACTTACATTCATCTGCTGCTCAGTTTCCAGAATCGCAGGCATGCGATAGTGCATCCAGGACATGATCTTACTTGACTGAAAGGTAATAATACTGTAGCTGTACATCTTGTCGCCGCTCTCGTCCTCCCAAACATCAAAGAGTCCGGCCATCCGCAGCAGCTTTACGTCGCCCGGCGACCAGGTGCTCTTGTCATAGATCTTAGCATTGCCGTCCTGGGGCACGTAAACCAAGTAGGCTTCCCGTTCTGAGGGCTTCTTGGCAGGACCTGCCGTCTGCCACTCGTAGAAGCCCTCACAGATCACTACGCACCGCTGCCCGCGCTTAAACGGACCGCGATACAATTTGGAATCCATCAGGTGCTCCAGTCGGCAGTTGTTGGTGGTGAGGCCGTGCCGCCGATAGTCGCCCTTGTGCCAAAAGGGGATCATGCCCCACATCATCGGCATCACGACGCGGGCGCACTTTTGTTCCGGGGCGTCGGAGAAATGCGCTGCGGACACGATCACGGGTGTGATGTCGGTGGGAGCGATGTTGTACGAGGCCTGGTAGCGCCTTCCCAGGTTGAATTCCGCCCTCCACTCTGGTGTCGCCATGCTCGAGATTTCCTCATCCTTGACCTTGATCTGCTCTTCACCTTCCGGCTCCTTTTTCACTGTCTGTTTTGGATATTTACAGGCGCAAATCACCTGATCCGGATCTAGGGTTCTGAGAAAGCGGTTAGTTTTGTTCTAATCTAGATGATTATACCCCTTACAGACATGTGCGGCCGCACATTGGATTGGTGTGTGAAATAAAGGGGAAATATATTTATTCTCACGTTTCTTTCCCGATATTTAAAATTTAATCTTAGGTCGGTGGTCTCCAGTGTTGCCGGGTGATGACCGCTCAAATAGCTATGTTCTGAGAAAAAAAAGATAAGTTTCCTAACCACACCTGGTCTCACTACACAGCAAAATCACAACAGAAAAATTAAGCGCTTCTATACAATCAGTTTTCAGGCATTTCGGAAGTCAACTAAAAGAAAATGGGCGAGCGCTACAACATCCACAGCCAGCTGGAGCATCTTCAGAGCAAGTACATCGGAACTGGGCACGCGGATACCACCAAATTCGAGTGGCTGACCAACCAGCACCGCGACTCGCTGGCCAGCTACATGGGTCACTACGACATCCTTAACTACTTTGCCATTGCCGAGAACGAATCGAAGGCAAGGGTGCGGTTTAACTTGATGGAGCGCATGCTGCAGCCCTGCGGACCACCCCCGGAAAAGCTAGAGGACTAAGAAATTTCAACTTAAATTAAATATATTGTAGAAAGAAATAAAATGCATTTTCCAGGGGTGGAGCACTATTTTAGGAAAATACCGTCTGTGGTATCAACTGACAATGGTGTTTTGGCGTCACCCACGCACGGTCCTACTGCAGGTCAGGAAAAGCTTTTCACTTCGATATAACTTATTTTCGTTTCAATTATTAATTTTCGCGTGCGCCAGCGTTTTATAGCAACTGAAAAATAGCCAATGCCGGAGCAAACCAAAGTACGTTGTCGTGTCCGCAAAGGGAATATCGAAAACCCCTCGAAAAAAGCCCCGAAAACAGTGTACAACAAAAATGCAATACAGCAGCAGCCACAACAACAATAACAATCATCGGGAGCATCTTGTGTGCGAAAATACGCGGCGGCGGCGAACAAAGATTTCAATTTGCAATTGCGTAGAACCCATTTCGTGTGTGAACACAGACACACACCAGTGCAGCCAGTGCCAGTGCCAGTGTGCTCGGCGAGATGAGTGCACGAAAATTGATGAATAATGGCCGAAAAACTCGGGCAAAAGCAGGCGACGCATAAGCTTAAAAATAGTGACAAACTAAAAATGCCTACTGGTATTTCCCAGCTGCCCCGTCTGCGCAAAGTTTATAGAGCTGTAAAAACCTCGATAGTGACGATGTCGATGTTTTCCGATATTTTCAGGGAGCCATCGATACTATCGCTCTTTTCAAAATGTCAATAGGAAATATTATGGCGTAGAAAAGTCTGTTTATATCCTCAAAATTATCTATATATTTAAAAAAAAGATTCGTTGTCATGTTAGTTAAAATAAAAGCCTTAACTAAAACTTATTTCCGTATGACAGGTTGAAACATTTAGAAAGTAAAGCTAAATATCAATTAAAATATATTTCTGTACTTCCTTTTTTTATCTCAACTAATAACAAATTAATGTTTTCCTAACATTTTTATTTTTTTTTAAGTGAAGTCTCGTGTTTTTTTATTTTTGATTTCTGTTTTTGGAGGTAAATTTTATTTGAATGTACTAAAATTGTGGGGAAAACTTTATAAAGTAAATAGTTTTTCGATAGTAGTTTGATACAAAAATATCGATAGTACCATCGAAGTTTTCACAGCTCTATGTGTTGGTGAGGTGAGGGGCAGAAAAGCCCACGACATCGTTGAAAATTTTCGCAAAGCGAAACCAAAAAGTTAAAAATAAATGTTTACTGAGCAGCGGAATAGAGGGGGCGGGCGAAAACGCAATTAACCCCCCACCGGCCGCCAGCGGCGAAGTGTTAAATGTAATTTTCCGATGGCTCGCGCTCTCGATTGTATTGAATAATTCGCTGGTTGCCCCAGCGCAGTTTGCAGTTCGTGGGTGTGTGCGGTGGCAGCGGGGGCGGAGAGCCCCGTTTTTGTGTGCCTCTGTGCTTTTGCTTCACCCTGCCATTCGCAAGGCGAAATGAACGGCGAAAAGAAAGAACCGTAATCGTGGGCACGAGAAAGCATGGTACAAAGAAATAAATAGTAGCGACGAAGGAATGCAGAGGAAGGAGAAAACAAAAGAATAGAGCGCGCCATGCCCCCAAATCCCCATTAGCCCTTCTCCCCTAGTGTTGCCTTGCTAACGGAGTGCCTGCTGTCTCTCTACCTTCCAGCTCCACTGAATCTTAGAATCCTCTGAAACCGAAGCCAGCAAGGACACCACAAGAAAAACAATCCCACGCAACCTGAATCGCAGCAAGCAAGACATCGCCAACTTCAGCGGGAGAGGGTCTCCTGAACGCCAGGAAGTGGAAGCGAAGCTTACTGCCGCTGCCGAATAATGAGTCGACATGAAGGTGAGTACTTGGAGTGCATGAAATAGCATTAGAGCCCGAAGGATAAAACTACCAACCACCACTGCTCCCGTCTAGGTGTCAGCTGCGATTCGTGTCTCAAGAGCAACTTTAACGGCAGGCGCTACAAGTGCCTGATCTGCTATGACTACGACCTGTGCGCCGACTGCTACGAGGATGGCGTCACTTCGACACGCCATTTGGTCGAGCATCCCATGCAGTGCATCCTTACCCGCTCCGACATCGAGCTATACTTTGGCGGCGAGATGCTAACCTCGGATCAGCCGCAAAGCTTTACCTGTCCCTACTGCAAAAAGATGGGCTTCAGCGATGCCACTTTACTGGAGCACGTCTCCGCCGAGCACACGGAGACCAGCCTGGAGGTGGTCTGTCCCGTCTGTGCCGGATTGCCGGGCGGCGAACCGAATCTAGTCACAGATGACTTTGCCGGTCACCTAACATTGGAACACAGGCAGGGACCGCGCGAGCTGATTTCCTTTTTGATATCCTTTTTCAAAAACATAACTAACGGATACTATATAAAGAAGTGTAATCCTGCCAGGCTGCATTGTAGGGAAATAAGTCAAGCAGAAATTCTCTTTGCTTAGTTGTTTAGTTCACAAAGGACATATTTTAAATTATTTCTCTTGCATTTTTAACTCTCCGTTAATTTTTGTAATCTCAAAAAATCCCAATTTTATGTTCATATTTATTTCGTAGGCGTTTTTGTATAGCTTGTTTTTATTATTAAGCTCTTTGCGATGCAGCTGCAGGCCTTGTTATAGCTTCATAAAGTATTTTTAGCTTTGATTTTTCACAGATAATCTCCATTTGGCTAGTCTATATTTTCTTTTCGGTAAAATCATTTTTGGTTGCCTTAACCTTTAGACAATACGACGAGCCCTCTGCCATCCGTCACGGCGGTGGAGTGCGCCGGATCCCTGGACGCACCCTTGGTGGCCCACGCACGCGACGCTCCAATATGCACTTTAGCTCTTCGAGCGGTCTATCGGCCCTTTCACCCTCGGGCCGGGAATCGGTGGATCCCATTGCGGAATTGCTCTCGCAGCTCTCCGGTGTACGGCGGGGTGGACCGCCCACATCGCAGCTGCAGCAGCTACAGATGCAGATGCAGTTGGACCGACAGCAGGTGACGGTAAGGGAGACGTCCATTTCCACATCTAAAATATTTGTGTGTATAAGGAAACTGCGACTTTTGTTGTCTCTCGCCTTTGCGCTCTTGCATTATTTTAGGCATCGCGCCAAATCGATCGGCTGCCAAGGCGCGGGCATCCCATAGTCTCAACATCGAACTCGAATGCCGCCATGGCCGAGGTGATCAGCGGTGGAGCAGGCAGCGGAGGCGGAGGCAGTGGCGCAGTTGGAAGTGGTAGCGGCGGCGGCAGCGGAGGCACGGCTCCGCCCAACCTGCGCACCACCGAGTGGCCGGTGACAGCCAGCTTCTCGACATCGGCCAGCAATCATTCGCAGACTCAGTCGAGTCTGGCCGCCAACAGCCTCAATGCCAGAGAAGTAGTTCATCCCGCTGGCCAGCATCCCCTAATTCAAATGTCCACTAATCTCCAATGTCTTATCCTGCAGGCGGTCGGTAGCAGCAGCAGCGCTAACAATGCCCTCGGTATCAGTGTGGGCGTGGGCGGAGCGGCCAATGGCAACGGCGGACCAGGAGCAGTCGGTGTGGGAGTAGGAGCCGGAGGCAGTGGTCAGACGGGTGGGCAGGGAGGCGCGGCAGCTGGGGAGTCCCTATTACTGGCCCAGTTCATGCAGCCCACCCTTACCGAGGCCGAATGGGCGAATGTGGAGCGCAAGCGGGCAGATCGGTGAGTTTGTTTTCCAAGGAAAAGTGATCCATTGGTTACCCGAGCTGCTTTCTAATGTTAGTCCTTCTCCTTGTAGCTCCATGTTTGTGCAGTCTCTGATGCTATCGATGCTCTGCAATGAGGCGCTTGACTTGAATGCCTCCGATGAGAGCCTGGCCAAGAGTGATAATGTAAATAAAGGGCAACAGCAGCAGCAGCAGGAGGATGCGGAGGCCGAGGCGCAGGCGGAAACGCTGTTAAACAACAATGCCGAAGTGGAGCAACAGGAACAGCAGCAGGCACAGCCGGCGTTGGTGCGACAGGTGAATCAAATGCAACAGACCTCTCCGGAGGACTTTGTTTGCGACGAGTATCGCTATAAAAACAAAAAGGCCAACACAACACAAACGAGCGGCACAGCTGGCGGAGGAGGAGTAGCGGGAGCAGCAGCCACTGCGGCATCCGGAGGGGGTGCTAGCGGAGCTGGCAGTAAGCCAACAGCTGACAGAGGCATCGAGAGACGTGGCGGCCGACCGCCGCCCGCGGAGATGGCCACGGGCTCGTCGCAGCAGCCACAACAGCAGCAGTCCACGGGCAATCCGGCAGCGTCCCAGCAGAAATACAAACAGAACGCTAATACAGCGGCGGCGGCAAACACAAATCAAATTCCCGACACTAGGTAGTGCCTCTGATGATGATCACAGCGACAACAACAACCACACACCCAATGTAGCTGCAGCAGCCACAACCAATCTATCACCACCAGCAACACCGCAACAGCAATCGAAAGCAGAAACAGCAGGAGCAGACGCTGATACAGAAACAGAAACAGCAGCCACAATTGATGGAACTACAACCAACACAGCCGTAAAAGTAACAACCGTAGTAGTGCGGGATAGCTGCTGCTCTGGAGGAATCGGATTCGTCTTAAGCAGTTGCTGACGTCCGCCGCAGCAAATTCGTCAAAAGGAAACAACTATATTATGTATCGTTTATTAAATATATTAAAATTTATATAATTATAAAAAGAAGAGAGGAGAGATGTGCAGCAAGAAAAATTATTGTAATCATTGAATTAATTATAATTTAAAGAAACCACAAAAAACAAATCTGACTGTTTTTTGGGCGCCCGTTTGCTAAGTAGTTATGCTGTCAAAAATATTCCATACTCTTTATTAACAAATCTGTCTCCTTGACTACATCGTACAAAAGATGCCTTTAAAGTTGAGAGATTTTTTAACCAAATATCGATTTGTACTTCAAAATAATACTTAGTATCCAACGTGTTATAGGGAAGGTATCTTGCTCCATTAGCTCTGATTCATTTCGCCCATTTCTAATCTAAAATCATAACTGTAATATAAAATTTAAGTACTTAAAGTTAGATAGCTTAAGTTAATGCCCTTCACAACTCAAACTTGTCCACATCCAACGGAGGCAGATTGTCTAAATCGTAAGCGCTTTGGATACCTTTGGGACGCAGGCAAAACAAGTGCTCCACTGCCTGCTTAATCTGCATATCGGAGCAATATGGATTAACCAAAACAATGGAGTGGGCCAACAACTTGGCCAGCTTCTTGAACAGAAATCGATTGGCTATGAGCCCCTCTTCCAGGGGGCTCATCAAATGCCGAACTATCCACGGACGTATGCGGAACACACAACTGGCCAACAGCACTTCATCCGCCAGGTCAATGGAGGGGCTGGAAATTTCAGTGGCAAACTCATCGTCACTGTCCTCGCCGAAAAGCTCGTGGAACTTGTACCGCAATCGGTCCTCGCAGCGCCAGTCCGCTTCCAGCACGCGGACCATACATGCGCTGAGTCTCATCCTTTGAACGTAGAGTTCGCAGGGCCAACGACTCTGGCGGAGATCCAGCTCCTGGCTTTGTTGCTGTGGCTGTGAGGGAGGCGAGGGAGGATCTTCAATCTTTCTGGTGTAGGGCAACTCGGCGTTCTCTATCTCCTCCAGGATCGCTGAGATCTGCGGATCGTCGTTTACAGCCGAGGCTTCGATGCCAAAGATTTCATTCAGGTCGGTGTGCTCGTCCCCAAACAGCATTGCCAGCTCCTGGGCCACCGCATCTTCGGTTCCAGAGGACGGTGAACCATGATCTGGATGCAGATTTTGCTTCTTCTTAACATTTTTAGAGTGACATCGTCGGCAGATTGAATCCTCAACTTCCGTCGACTCCTGAAGTCTGGCCTGAAACATATCGATTTTTCGGCTCAATTCGTAGCTTTCAAAATTATCATCTTCTAAATTGGAGTCATGTCCGTTTTGAGATTCGTTCCATATTGTTTGAGTGCCTTTATCTACATAAGTCTGATCTAATTTGGCTGGCGCCACATCCTTGGCATCTTCCGGTGACTGGCTCTGCATTTGGTCAAAGATAATATTGGCCAGGCGACCCTCCTGCGTGCTCCTTCGCACAGCGGCTATCTGTGGGCTTTAAAGTTGATGAGGATAATCGGTACACATCTTGGGTTTACTCACAGTCTTGACCATGACCCTCTGATACACCTGGGCAGCCTTACAGGCCTTTACTGCCTTCTGCTCCAGTTTGTGCAGGCTCTCCGGGATGCAGGCCCATGCAGTGGGCTTGTGCCGATTCCTTGACTGGCTAGCCCAGGCGCAAACGTTCTCACGCAGCTGACGCTCCAAATAGAGCACATATTGCTTTTGTACCTACGAGATCAAAGACATAAACAAACTTCTGTGATTGGAGGAAATGTGTCCCAAACAAAAGCTTTTGAAATCAATTTACTTACCACCTCTGTGAGCACAACAAACTCATTATTGCTTTCAGATTTCATTCTTAAATTGTGACGTGATCCTTGCCCTTTTCTACTTAAATAAATTTACTCATTTTTCTGCTTTCGACAAACGTTTAAGCCGGGCTTAAAGCTGCTGCCGGTTCAAATAACAATTTAAACAATGTGACAGCGTTGCCACTTGTCGGCAATCAGCTGTGCGTGGAAGTAGCTTTCGTTAAAGCGGCAACGCCAACGAGACCCAAAAGTGTGGCAGCGTTAGACCTCAAGACCGATTTCGAGCCAATGCCAATGGCTGACGGTCTCACTGGGCCCACCCTTTTAGGCGGCATTTTAAAAATAACACTCCAAAAGTAATAGTAATAGTAATAAAGTAATAGTCCATTTATTATAACATGAAAACCTGATTTTTATTAAGTTACCTGGTGATTTTTTATTTAAGAATGCTTCTCAATTTCACAGACGACAGTATTACAAGTTTCTTTGTCAAGTTTGTTAAATATTTATATGTATACATATGCAAGTTGTGTAGTTTATTAAGCTATTGCCTATGTACAATACGATTATAGGTACCTATTATAATATATATCATATATTGTAACTATCGTAGTACAAGTCAAAAAAGTTTCAATTATACAAAAAACAGACCAATTAACATTCAACTTGAGGTTGATTCTTGCAGGGCCGACGGAATTCAACTTGTATTCCGTGTTGTTTATTACAAATCGTTATTTTGAACAACAACAAAAGTAAGCGTGAGGAGAACTATTATAAATATATATGATTAATTGTTATATTAGGGCTAAACTGCTAAAGCCGCTGCCAATAATTGGCATAATTTTGAATATCAATCCATTGATCCATCGCTCTACTGTCCAGGCCTTAATCAAGAAACATGTTGTCGTCGTCAAAGGTGAATACGTTGTTGCGTGGCTGGGCGGGATTGGAGGCGGCCTCAGGTCGTGCTTGGGCTCTGTCCGCAAGAGTCTGGCTACTAGGGGTGCTGCTATTGTTGACAGCAGCCGAAGTCGCCGTTCCTATGGCGTTGGTGGCCGAGCTCCTTGTGGAACTGGTGCCCTCCGCTCCAGTCTCTCCGCTATTAAAGCCGTCGAGCAGAAAAAACTCCTCGTCACCATCACTGCCATCTTCAGCCAGGGACTTGCGGCAGATCGGACAGGTGCTGTTAAGATTCAGCCATGGCACAATGCAATTTTCGTGATACAGGTGCGAGCAGGGCAGCTTGCGAACTGTTTCGTCAATTTTGAAGTCGTCCCAGCAGATGGAACACTGGATCTTGCGCTCCACATCCTCGGCACTGATCTGCACATTGGGTATCTCGTTGATGCGCTGCGCCGACAGTGGCGGCGGTCCCGAGGTCTCCATTTGGTTAAGCATTTGCGTGACAATCGTGTCCAGGCCCTCCCGGCCCCATGCATAGTCCCCTGGGTTGCCCATGAAGAACATGTGCGAGTTGCCACCGCCGCCAACGCCTCCGCCCGGGCCGGTCACTATTTCGGCAGTTGCGCCGGCCAGGGGCAAGCTCTGCAGAAAGTCAAATAGCACATTGTCTAGGCGATCTAGGTTGGCCGGCCGCACGCGTCCACCGGCGGTCAGACCGGCGCCACTGCCCGATGGTCCGCCAAAGCCGCCCAGGTGCACCACATTGGTGTGACGCCGATTTGGCTCGATGGTGATCTCCAGATTCGGTACATTCCGCATATTCAGCAGAGATACAATGTCGTTTCGCAGCGACTCCACGGTGACTTGAGATCCGCTTGAGGAGCTGCCCCGGCTAAGATTGTCGTGGGAGCTGGAGGATCCACTGCCACTGCCACTGCTGCCCGATCGACCACTACTTGAGGCAACAGCAGCCCCGGTAGCCATCTCCGGGGCATTAGCCGGCAGCTCCTCCACGAAGCCGTTGGCGCACAGAGGGCAGGTGAAATCCGCATTGGGAATGTTGATTTCCACGTTGCACATGTGGCAGAAGAAGCGCTTAGGGTCCGCGGACCGGTCCTCCACCACCATTGCCTCGGCCATCCTGCGGGAATTGACTGTGTCCTTATCTTCCTGACGAGCTCTGAATGGCTGATTGTGCAAGCTGGGCGCCGCGGTCGGCAGATGGCGTCGCTTCCGACTGGCGTTGTCTGCTGGTCACCTAAGACGTTGCGTTACACACACGGGGACAAGGTACGTACGCCGGGCTCCACGCCGGACACTCTATTCGTTGAGAATTTAGGAAACACTTAGTGAGTTATATTTTTCTAAAAATAATGCCCTTTTAAAGTGCCCAGTTTTGCTTTGGATAGTTGATTAGTATTTTTCTGGCGAAAACGTTGACGAATTGAAAATAAATTATCGATAAAAAGCTAATTTATTCAAAATATAAGTAGAATTTACCGTAAAAATTATTTTTTATAGGAAAATTTTGATTTTTTACAACGATAAATTTTATGTAAGCACGTTTAATTCCATTTTTATTTTTAATTAGTGTTGAAATTGATTTTTAATAAGTGTTTTGCGAAAACTCAATTTTTTTAATGTGAAATTTTAAATATTCTACATTTATATTTTAAAGATTTAATTTTTAAACTTTATTGAACCTTATTTAATATATTTAAAGCCACATTTAGCTGTAAAATAGCCAACTTTGTCAGCTCGGTGCATGTTATTCCATCAGAGTAGGCGTAGCCAGATCACTTCCCATTCGGCCGTCATTATTAGTCCATTTCCCATTCGCAGTCTGGCAACGCAAGTTGAGAAACAAAAAGTCATCTTCACTGGCGGCGTTTAGCGTTTTGCAAAATTTTGATTCCCCTGCAAAGTAAATTGAGTTAAGCGAGCAGCACCGTCACCATGTCGATTTTAGCCTACAACGGAGGATGCGTCGTGGCCATGCGCGGTAAGGACTGCGTGGCCATCGCCACGGACCACCGCTTCGGAGTCCAGGCGCAGACCATCTCAACGGACTTTAAGAAGGTGTTCCACATCGCTCCACGCATGTTCCTGGGCCTCACTGGCCTACAGACAGACATTCTGACCGTGCGGGATCGCCTAATGTTCCGAAAGAACCTGTACGAGACCCGTGAGAGCCGCGAGATGGCCCCCAAACCCTTCTCGGCCATGCTCTCCAGCTTTCTCTACGAGCACCGCTTCGGCCCGTACTTCATCGAGCCGGTGGTGGCTGGACTGGATCCCAAAACCCTGAAGCCGTTCATCTGCAACATGGACCTGATTGGGTGCCCCAACGAGCCCGATGACTTCGTTGTGGCCGGCACCTGTGCAGAGCAGCTGTACGGCATGTGCGAGACGTTGTGGCGCCCAGACCTGGAGCCGGACCAGCTGTTTGAGGTGATCGCCCAGTCCATGATGAACGCCTTCGACCGTGACGCCATGAGCGGTTGGGGCGCCACCGTGTACGTTATCGAGAAGGATAAGATTACAGAGCGCTCGTTGAAGACCCGCATGGACTAAAGACGTTATCGAGAATTCCGATTGGTGATTTTGTATACAGAAAAACAGAAGATATAACATACAAATAAAATTTGTTAAGGTACCCACATATCATCGTCATCGAAGGAATATTGTCAGTTGCATCCATCGTTCAGAAAAGAGAAATGAGGCTTTATTTATTTTAAAACATTTTTTCGCTTAATATTACAATTAATTTGAGGTACAAAACTGGAGTTATTGCTCCTCCGACCACTCGATTGACTTTATGGCCATCGCCATGGCGGCCTCTTCATTTTTAGCGCCGCCGATAAAGCCATTGTGATGAACGAACACGAGATCTTTGATGCCTGTCTTCTCACTAAGATCATCATCCCTCAATCCTCGCCACGGCGTGGGCAGAAACTTGCGTCCCAGGAAGCTACTGGGTGTTACGGGCACTCCGGCCACTCGATAGCCTGTGCCGTCGTTAAATATGACAAGTTTGGGCACTCCCTCCACATTGTATTCCTTCTCTAGGTCGGCCAGATGAGCCTTCCAGGGGCAGAAGGTCTTCAGTACGAGAATCTCGCCAGTTGGATAAACGTTTTTTGCTCCTTCCAGAGCCGCTCGGACATGATCCCTGGCCGCAATCCACGAGCAGACAACCTCCAGAACGTTTTCGACGAACTCTCGTCCAGCAATTTCCATTGCCTTTTGGAATCGCTGGTCAATGTCCACGCCGACCTCCTGCCAGGAGGGATTCAGTTTTCCAATACGAGCGGATAGATGAGTGGACACTTTGTATACAGGTTCCCCGCCTTCGAACATGGGTACTCCGTTGTCAATGGCATCCAGTTCGCTGATAAAATTCCGGTAGATCTGTGTGAAGGCCAACTTTAGGTTCTCTGGCGAGAGTTGGATGCCCTTTTCCTGTTGCAAGATGCTCTGGATGATTCGTTCGCCATAGTGACTGTATATTAAGCCAGCGCTGCTTAGCCTGGAGGGGATTTAGTAAACAGTTAGATAAGGTTCCGTGGAACAAACTCCCCAAGAACTCACCTGATAACATTGAACTCTTCGCTGACTTCGGGACAAATGCTCTTGAAGGTTTCTGTAAAGGATTTCTGGTGATGATCGTACCATTTCTTGGCATGATCATACTCGCCGCCTACGTCCACAATGATGTCGCACTTTTCCCGCAGTGCCTTGTCGTCCCGGCTCCTGAAAATTTCCGCATGTTCGTACTCTGGCAGCTTCTTCAGCATGAAGCATGCAACGACCTCATCGCAGTGGAAAGTGCCGCTGTGGGTGCCAATCCACAAAGAAGAGCGCTTGGGTGGAGTTCCTCCAGTCATTATAAATAGTTGTCCTGATCAAAAGAAATTTGTTATTTCAATTAGAAACGATTTTTAATAAAAACTAACGAAAACGCGGCAAGAACCGGAACATAAGAACCAGTGTGACCACTAAATACAAAATTGGAGTTGCCAGACCGAGTTGCTTGACCAGTGTGATTACAAAATAACCTCGAATAGTGTGACAGCACTGAAAACGGTTTTTTAAAGCAGATGTATTTTAAAAGCTTAAAAATTAAACTAAACGCTCTAATTATGTATATTTAAAAAAAACGTAAAATAATTTTAGAAAATCCGTTGTCTGTACCAAGCACCGCCAGCTCAATACCTCTCACCACTCGTTTGCATGGGCGAACCTGTTGGAACAATTAATTAACAATAATTTGCTAATTTGTTAGACAACAACTTATAGGCAGCCATTCGGGTTTTTTTTATTGGATGGTTCATTAGAAAATTATTGGGCGAAAATATCAGTAAGTTTTTGCTTCTCAAGACACACGCATGGATAGTGGATAAGGCGTATTAAAAACAAGGATTAACCAATAATGGCAGAAGCTCGCTTACGCCGAAATATTAGTCGGCAAGTACCAGCAATGTAAGAGGACAGTTTTATTAAATATATGGAATTCGGAATCTCAGTGATTAAAATTGCATTTATTGACCCAGTGCGTGATGTAGTGACGTCTTATATAATCAGCTGATCCCTTAAACTGTTTAAATTTCTCATTTCCGTTAATTGTGAGCGACGAACAACAATTAAAATCAAAAATAGCCACAGTGCCTATTGTGCGAATCCGGGCTACACCGAAAAGTAACATAAATCACAGCCGACGTGTAGATCACGTGTAGGAGCGGAGAGCGCACAAAAAGAAAACGATTTAATTTAAATCGTTGCACAGGCATTTTCCTCGTTTAGAGCCTCCCACGACCTTCGAAAAATGCGAAGCGCTCGGAAATTGTTTAGAAAAGGGAAGCTAAAGCTTTGAAACCAGTTTCTAAACACTTTTCCAAATGAAATGCGAAACGCAGCTCACATTAAAATGCAATTATCCCGACACCAACATCAACTTATAGCGGGTTGGGGCATGGGGGCTCGAGATCGATGCAGACACGCTCCTATCGCAATTTGGACTCGATTCCGACCCCAGCCTCTTTCAGCATGCAGCTTATCTTTCCCGATTACGTTAGAAGTTCATTGCCACTGAGCGAAAATTGCGCTTGTTTTCACAATTGACTTTGTAATTATATTTTCACGCCCATGTACAAATAATAAGCAAATGGCACAAGCAAACAAAGTACCTTTTAGTACCTAGTATAAGGTATTTAAGGTTTGAGGGTATATTGGGATCATATTAGGTTTGATTATTTGTAGCCAATTTACGTGTTAAAAAGAGTTATCAATATATACAATATAAGGCCATTCGTAACATTTCTGGCGCTTTTCACGTACACGAATAATGTTAAATGTTTAATATGTATACTAAATTTTTTAATTCCCTGCATAGGGTAAAATTTTTCTACCTACAATAAGCTTACACCTTTGAAGTTATATTAGCGCAGCTTTTTTCCAAATAAATTGGCTAATAACACCCATGTGTGACTAACAGTAATGCTTGAACGCGTCCCAGTGAAGTTTATTCCAATTATCTGGAGCAGACAGCAAATACATTAAAAATTTTGGGAGATGACGGTTTTGTAGAATTTAATGCTGATTTGCTCAATAGTTATTTAAATAAATTTATTTTTTTATTTTTAATGACTTACTTTGTGAAAATAATGATGTTTTTAAAATTTGTTGTAGATATTTCAGGAATTTCTAATTTTTTGTTGGTGGAGTACTCAGCTTAAATAATTGTTTACTCTCGTGTTCTGGTATTTATTTAAACTACAACCTTTTGCAACCGTAAATAAATAATAAAATGACCGATGAGTTTATTTTAAACTGAAATAGAATACCTCACTTGGAGAAAATGTCAAGTGCTATTCATTCGAGTTTAAGTGAACTTAAGTAGCTTTTCTGTACTATTTCAGTGATCAAAGAGACTGGGGACCCACTTTGCGTTCCGTTCTATTCATGGGTGACGGGTTTATGCAACTGTCGTTATTACGAGAATTTACCTTTTCCTACTTGCATTTTAATCAAATACGTACGTTGTGTTCACTTCGAGTGCGGAACCTGAATCTGAAGGAATGCTCGAGGTGCTGGAGACACAGCGATACCCATAAAGATCCAGAAAGCATATAGCTCTGGTTAGCGGCTTTAGTGGGCAGATTTAGTAGTAGCCGGGCATTGATGAGGTAAATAAACAAGTAAACAGGTTTGTCGTCCGTTTAATTGTTCTCTCGCTCAATGAATATATTTTAGGAGGGTCTTGCTTTGTTATTTATTTTTTTTTTTTGTTACCAAATTTCCTACATTCCACATTGACACAAATGCCAGTTGAGCTTTTTGTTTAATTTTTTGTCTCTGCTACTGCTGCTGTTTTTTTTTATTTTTATTTTTGCTGCGCTTTGATTTGTAAGCTTAGCTTAATGGAAAGCTTGCCGAGCCGCTTTTGTTGTAACGGGAAAGAGAATCGCGCGCTTAACTTTGGCTTCGGTTTCAGTTTGTTTTGACCGCGCGACACGCTCTGAGGTGTTTGTTGCCCCAAAGCGTAGACTTGTCGCGGAATAAAAATACGAAAATTATACAAAAGCCATTTAAAATTAACCATAAAATTAGTTAAAGTTCGACGCTTGCACGGTACACGGTTTGAACGTCCTATATGCGTATATTATACACGACATCGATTAAGTGCAGTGTTCTCAACTTCAACGACGGGTTTTTCCGTGGCACGCCACTCCGTTGCATATCCTCGGACAGCGACCCTTTTATGTAAATGAAGTTAGAAGTTGGATTTCTTGGTCAAAAGTCAAAAGAGGTTAAAATACGTGCCAAAATTCTCGGAATGGTGGAACCACCGGGAATCCACTTAGCCAGATTCAGTTGAGGTGCGCCCGCTGGAATCGGTCTTGCGTTTTCGGTTTGGGTATCGGTTTTTTGGGTTCATCGTGGAAATCAGTTAAAACCAGTTTGTGGATCCCGTGACCGCAAGGCGATTTATTACGCATCTCATAGATATCGTACCATTCCACTCCATCGCCTAACCCTATGCACCTGCGATGAACTGGTTTCCCAGCTCAAGGCTTTTCCTTTTTCTTTTTCTCTTCATTTTTTTGTGACAGCCTCGAGATTTGTTGGCTTACTTTGCTCATATGCATAAAATGCATTCATAAATCTCCTTTTTAATATGTATTTCTTTTTAATACGTGTTCAAAGATTTCTCCCAAAGCTTATCACGTGAGACTCGGCAAAAATGCAAAACTATTGGCCATCATCGTGACTTAACTTATGATATGCATATTAAATCAGTTTTAAATAAAGCAAAATATGTTGCACTATCGGTTTTGTTTTATATAGACTTCATTGATTTTTTAATTTTTTAAGCTCCTAATTATATTTATTTTAACAAAGTTACATTCATTTCAATTAAATTCAAAAGCTCTTAAGTACAAAAAGAAATGATTTCCAATGCTTTCTCACATATAAACACGTAATATTTTAATTGTGTCAAAAACGTCAGCACTCCCAATCGCATAATAAACGAGCCGAAAGCCAAAAACCAAAATCCAAACCCCTAAAGAAAGAAAGCAGCCAAACAAGAAGAGCTATTAATGTCCAATTATAATGTATTTTCTTCGTTTTTGTGTGTGTGTGTGATTTCGAAAGGCTTTTGCCACTTAGCACTCAGTGCCGAACGCGTATCGATAAGTAACGATAATGATCAATAATGCTCACCAAATGATGCTTAACTGAGTGAAAATCAATACGCAGGCAAAATCACCCAAAACCCCGAGACTTAAAAACAATAATAAAATCAAAGGCAAACAAGCAGACGCTTGAGCAAACAGAAGGGCGCATTACGTATACGTCGCCCATCAAGTATACGCCGCGATGTCCAATGGCAAGGCTGCCACAGCAGCCGCCACAGCTGAGAAAAATGGGTAAAGTAACTGCTGCCTGCATTTTTTCCCACTTACTTACTACAGACAATAGCTTAATTGTTAACTAAAATTAATCGAATGCCAAACAAACAAATACAATTTTCTCCATTTCCGTTACAGCGCGCTGAACGATCGTCCATTGTTCATGCAAAACGGCAGCGGCGGACGCACTGCATCCAACGATGTGGAAGTCAGCAACTTTAGACGCGCCCTCCCACAGTTCATAGCTGTTAGTATTAAGAACATATTGCTATTCGGTAAATAACAACAAAACATATTCCAGCTACATGTATTTTTTCACAGGGGAAATGAATTCACGAAACTATTGATTTTTAAATCGTAAATCATACAAAAAAATCTGAAAAAAGCGGTGCAAATTAATCTTAATTAAAGTCAGTGAGTTTCCAGAAGTAAACAATGTATTTATTTTAAAGTTTATTGTTTTTTTTTTAAACCATCACCTAGTTGAGAGAATTTTATTTAAATTGTCATCACTAATTTAAATTGCTTGTTAAGAAAAAGCCATACCTGCTGTTAAACAGAATTTAAGAAATATTATGAACATTAGTTAATTAGTTAATTAACTCAATAATTTATTGTGTGCGATTTAGCTTTTAATTTGAAACGTGTTTTTTAGAGAGTTGTATGACACTATAAAACTCGTTTGTTTTGTATCAAGTAGAGTGAATTATTTCTGTATAAGACTTCTCCTTTGAAAGATACCATTTAAGCTTTATATAATTATTGATTTAACTTATAAAACAAAATTCAATGTGCTTTGTTCAGGATATGGCATGACCTTAGGGTTCCCCACAATTGTGATTCCCGCCATTCAGGGCGGCGAGGGACGCAGTGAGACCAGTGGCGACATAGTCCTCAACAAGGATGAGATCTCTTGGTTTAGTACGTTTCCAGCACTTCAAATTATGAATATAATTTATAATTAACCCATATTCCTTTACCTCTAGGTTCAATTAACCTTATTTGTGTCCCACTGGGTTGTCTGTTCTCCGGCCTACTCACTCAGCCCTTGGGCAAACGGAGAGCCATGCAGGTGGGTTTAATAAATAGTGCAATAGTAAAATAGCATAGCCTTTAAGTAGGAGTATTTGTTAATAACAAAGGGCAAGCTAAAATTGAGCAATTGCCACCGCATGCAAAGGTGTAATTTTTTTTTGGCACACACCTGAAATGATGATCATAAGGCCACTTAGCCGCAATCATCTGCGGCTCATCAGGCGCTCCTCCGATTACTTGGAACACTGACACACTGAGCTGGAAACGAGCGCTGCGTGACTTTGTGGGAGGGTTATGGTTATGCAATTATGCTCATCCGATGGTGCTGATCCAAACTCTGCTCTCCCCCTGTCTGTATCCGCAGTTTGTCAATCTTCCGATACTGGCCGCCTGGCTGATGTTTCACTTCTCGACGCGCACGGAACACCTGTATGCGGCTTTGTGCTTGGCTGGACTTGGTGGCGGATTGATGGAGGCGCCGGTAAGTGAATCCCAAGCCACACTGCTTAATAGCTCTGAAATATATAGTCAAACCCTTAAATAACCTAACACTTGGGGCACCTGTGAACTGCCAGCTCTTAAAATCCATTCTCCCGTTGCCTGTTTTATTTATCTATTAATTTGCATAATTCGTCAGAAATGGGGACTTTTCACTTTTCCCCACGGAGTTGTGAATTTCTCAAAGCTAAGCTGTTCAAACCGCAAAATGATCCAAACCAAATATCCGGGAAAACATGACAATAAAAAGATTGCCCATCAAAATATTAAAGTAACAGAAGCCAGAGATTACTTAAGTGTAAAAAGTACCGAGTTCTCACCTATTAGCCACAATATCATTTAGAGGTTTTATATCTACACAGATCTTTGTAATTGTCTTGAAATGAAAAGGAAAAAAAAGGAAACAAAACTGAATACAATCACCATTTACTATTTACGTAATTAGGTTAAATTACAGAAGATAAAAATCTTTAAGGCTAGTTTTTTACATCACACTTATAAACAAGGCAGAACGATTAAGAAAAAAGAAGAACGCTTAGTTTGCGAAAGTTTGTATACCCTTGCAGTTAAAAATAGGCATAAATAGGCTAAAATTGAGCCAATTTCAATTCGGAACGCTGTTCTGTGCTAGTTTTTATAGGGCTAACAAATCTGCATACTCGGTTTTAAGATTTAAAAGTTTCAATTTTTTATCAAATTTTGAAAATTTTAATGATGTAACTAACCCCTTAACAATTTTCAAATTTTGGATAAAATTTCAAAAATTTAATTGGCTTGGACTTGGCTAGATCGAATCCGCTGTTTATTCTGATCAAGAATATATAGGATTTATAGGGTCGAATATGATTCCTTCATTAGTTTTTAAGCTTCTGATTAATACTAATACCCTGTAAAAAGGTATAAAAAATGGAAAATTTTTTAAATAATCAGTGTTTTTCAAACATCATAATTAAGCTAAAAATTCAGAAATTTCAATTCGGAAAGCTGTTCCGTGATAGATTTTAAAGCGCTAACAAATTTGCATATTGCGTTTGTTGACGCCGGTAAAGATTTTGACAAAAATTATAATATCCTGCAAAAAGGTATAAAAAATGCAATTTTTTTTAATAATCAGTGTTTTTCAAACCTAATTATTAAGCCAAAAATGCATTCATTTCAATTCGGAACTCTGTTCTGTGCTAGTTTTTATAGGGCTAACAAATCTGCATACTTGGTTTTAAGATTTAAAAGTTTCCATTTTTTATCAAATTTGACAATTTTAATGATGTAACCCCTTATCAAATTTTGAAATTTTGACCAAAATTTAAAAAATTTAATTTTCAACCGGACTTGGCTAGATCGATTCAGCAGTTCATTCTGATCAAGAATATATATGATCTATAGGGTAGGAAATGATTCCTTCATTGTGTTGTAAGCTTCTGACTGAAATTATAATACGCTGCACGGGTGTAAAAATCATACCAATAGTTGAAATTCCTCTCAATTATGTTTTTATTGGTTATTTAAAGCATATAAATTGCAATTACCCAGTCAAAGTTCCATTAAGTTGTTAATTATTATATAAAGCATTGCAGTTTCGCTGTATTGTTTCATTAAATGTTTTATACCATTCGAAAAATGAAACTTTTGTGGATTTTAATGCTTTTACTGTTTGTTTGTGTACTGATAGATGGTAAGGTTGTCTATCGAACTCGATGGCCAAAATACGAACCGAAAAATACATATGCCGAGCCAGTCAAGGTGGGATTTTCATAACGACTCTCTGAATTCTTAAATTTATTTAATATGAAATATTACAATTGCAAGCCGAAAGACTACTGCAAAGCAAATCTTTGCCCTGCGGGTCAAAAGCATGTAACCTGTGGGAAAATGTTTGTAAGTAGATATTTGCAATGAACTAAAGATTCTTGACGTTGACATTAAAGCCCAAATTAGAAAATAAAACAATCTTTATGTTAATGAATTTTCATCAAGATTTTGTAAAAAATCAAACGAAGATTCTAATAGCTTGGTCATAAATTCATAAATTCGACCCACTCTTTTTAGTGGAGTACCCAATGTGGCCCCCGGCACGAGGGCTTGGATATAAACTATTGCATGAGGAAGATTGTGAAGGTTCTTAACAAACTTCGGGCCCAAGTAGTGAACGGAAAGACCCAGCTGCCGCAGGGAAAGGAAATGCCCGAGGTGACGTGGGACAAAGAACTTGCCACTATGGCGATGCGGGTTAACAACCAGTGCAACGATTACCCCGTCGGACTTTGTGCAAACACGATGCGCTATAGGGAAGTGGGCGAGTCCTCCGACTTTCGCTTCCTGGATGCTCAGCCTAATATAAACGTAATCGGCTTCTTCAGGAGCTGGTTCGAGCAAGCGTCCAAGATGCAACACGGCGACGTTTCTAACTTCCCGAGCTTGACCGGTCTGAATCCGGAGGTTCTGGCGTTCGCCAACATGATTAACTCCAAGGTTACAAAGTTTGGCTGTGGAGTTCTTACCACAACCAAAAAGCGATTTATCACCTGTATATTCGACAAGAGGCTTAAGCCTGGCCAGCAGCTCTACGAGCTAAAAGGGGGAGGGAAACGAAATCTTGATGTGCCAGAAAATAATAATGAATCTAAAATTTAAAGGATTTTTATTTACATATGTTATTTCAACATAAATATTATATTAATAATTGAAAACTGAAGAATCTCATTTTTATTTTTAAAGCGAGAACTGTTTTTAATCTTGTGAAAACAAAATGCATTTATTTAATAATTTCAATGTAAACGGTTTAAGTTTAGAAAGAAAGCTAAATTCGGCACGCCGAAATTTATACAACCTTGCAGTTTGCAATTAATTATACAATCAAATCGAAAATCAATTATAACTAATCTTAAAATATTTGAATCTATATTAAATCAAAGTGTCAAGAACACATAACTAAGCCAAAAAGCATTCATTTGAATTCGGACAGCGGTCCTGTGTTAGTTTTTGTTAGGTTAATAAATCTTTACAATCTAAACAAATACAATTTTTGAAAATTGTAACGATAAAATTTCGAAAAAATCTCTCAAAGATGGCTAGAAAGATGCTGCTGTTGATGCTGATCAAGAATATGTCGGAAATGACTCCTTCATGACTAAAATTTGAATAATCTGCTAGGGTATTAAAATATAGAGAGTGTGACATATTACAACTGTCAATTAGGAATGAGTTAAATTAAGAAACAAACTATTATTTTATACATTTTAGTATTTTTGTTTGTTTACAGGTCTTAGTTGTCAGATTACATACTAAAGATAAGTTCCAGATTCCTCATCTTCTCTTAAGCTCAAATTCTATCAATACGATCTGAGAAGGTCATCACGTATGAACATATGACCATTAACTCAACTATTGTAGATTCAATGCGAGTGTTTTTATGTCAATTTGTGATTACCCCTCACGATCGGCTCCACAGCTGACCCACAAATTCCTTTTGCAACAATGGCTTAAACCACATCGTCAGTTAGTTTGCTTTCAAGTATAGTTTTTTCTGGCCTTGGCCAGCTCCTTGAGAACTCTAGTTGCCGCTTGTCACTTGACGTAGCCACAAGTTGATGGTAGTTTTAGATACGTTTATTAACCCTCTGGTATTTGAGGGGTTTCGTTTCATTTGGCTATAGGAAAGGCAGCTATAATTTGAAATTGAAATTATGTACATATAATATAATCCCCCCTTTTTTGTGAGCTGAACAATTCAAATAACTTTTCAAGGTATTTATTGATATAATAATTTTTGAGTTTAAGGTGCCTGGGTAGGGTTAATGCCTCTGGTAATGACTACTAACGACTACTCTTGCTATTCTTCAGGTGCTTACCTATGTGGCCGAGATCACAGAGCCCAAGTATCGTGGCATTTTGTCCGCTTTGGGAACCACCTGCGTCATCACCGGTGTCTTTATCCAATTCATTCTGGGTTCCCTGATGGACTGGCGAAGTGTTGCAGCCGTAAGTTCGGCCTTTCCGGTGATCACCATTGTGATGCTGTGCTTTGTGCCAGAGAGCCCAGTTTGGCTGATACGAGAGCAGCGTTTCCGGGAGGCGGTCAAGTCCCTGCAATGGCTGCGCGGCTGGGTGCCGGAGCACAAGATCGAGGCGGAGTTCAATCAGCTCTATGATGAACTTATCACCCAGAAGGCCATCGAACTGACAGCGGACGGAATTCCATTGCCGGGACAGCGGCGAACGTTGAGTCAGCGCCTGAGGATGTGGCGCAAGCGAAGCTTCCTGGTGCCCTTCCTCTTGGTCTCCTTCACCTTCTTCACGGGCCACTTTTCCGGCAAGACGCCGCTGCAAACGTATGCTGTTCAGATATTCCACACTCTCAAGGCCCCGATGAACAAGTACCACGCCACCATCCTGCTGGGAGTAGCCGAGATGCTGGCCACCATTTTGGGTGTGATACTCATCCATTTTACCGGAAAAAGACCCTTGGTTTTGGTGTCCACGGTGGGCACTGGCCTGTGCTTCTTCGGCACAGCCACCTATGCTCATTTCCTAAATGAAGTTCCCGGGTTTACGGTCAACAATGTGGTGGTCAATGCCTCATCCCTTGTTCCCCAGGAGGCGATTCTCTCGCAGGCAAATATCTCAAAAATCTTTGAGACCGAAAAGAAAGCCATAAAGGAGGAAGGTGACCAGTTTACTACACAATTTCCGGATTTAGAGACAACTACAATGTTTCCATCGGAACCCTATAACCGGAGTAGAAGAGAAGTGGATGAGACAATGATCACCGAAGCCCCAATTGACACCACTATGTGGCCAGAGTCTAGTAGCAGTGCGGTGCCCAGTTCATCAGCAACACCAGGAGTATCAACGACGACAAAGCCTCCAATTGAGGAGGATATCCTTTTGGTGGTGCCTAAGCAGGAGCACAACTATCTGGTTTGGGTGCCACTCATCCTCCTGCTGCTTTCCGCCTTCTTCTCGCATCTGGGCATCCGAATGCTTCCCTGGATATTGATTGGCGAGGTCTTTCCGGCCGAGATACGAAACACTGCCTCGGGCTTTGCTGGAGGAGTGGGCTATATATTTGGCTTCTTGGCCAACAAGCTCTTCCTGCTGATGCTGAGTGCACTAACTCTGCCCGGAACCTTTGCCTTCTACGCATCCGTGGCATTTGTCGGAACCATTGTCCTGTACTTCACCCTTCCAGAAACGGAGGGACGCACTCTGGGTGTAAGTAAATTATAGATATCATAAGTAAATCAATAAACTAAATTAACTTCATTTTCTTTTTTCCATTAGGAAATCGAGGCACACTTCTCCAAGAAATCCGACATGAATCTATTGCGCAAGCAGCCCAGCAATAGATTGCCCGTCAAGGACGAATCGCAATTTCCTGGCAATGCTATCAATGTGGATGGGATGCAGAGCTTCCATGTGCCCATCACCTCACAGCAGCAGGCAAAGATCATACATCTGCAGCAGAGCGACTTTGCGCCACGACCGCCGAACGGAAGGACAGCGGGAGTTGGTATGACCAATCCGGCCTTTGAGGAGAGCAATACCACGCATCTGTGAGCATCTGGAGCTGGACTGTGAGTCGTCCATGCCCATGTCGCCTGTGTCATCATCCTGTGTCAAAGATATGTACACGTGCTTAACATTCCCGTGATATTTCTGAGAAATAAACTTAACTACATAGATTTACATACTTATTAAATGATCTCACTTTCTTAATGGTGCAATGGGGGATCGAATCTCTTCTTTATTTTAAATTATTATTTCAAGGGATTTGCTCTGAAACCCTATGGATAACTTTTCTCTAAAGTTGAAATCTAATTGACATCATATTCAAAAATAGGAATTGGTAAACAAAAGAACGCCATAGAAATCGCATCGAAAGCATTTAATAATTTAATTCCCTTTTTAAGACGATCAATAGCGATTTCATTGGCACACTTGAATATGTAAAATATATTTAAACACTTTTCTTAGATTTAAAAGTGACCAAAATAAAATGGTTAAGTAAATGTCCAGTATGTTGTTAAATATTTAATTTTAATGTAAAATGCAGTTGCTTTCTTTAAACTTCTTAGGAAGAACACGGTATCCACAACCAATTCGCACTAATTGATCGAAAAAGCAATAGAGAAGATCCACCAGCTAGTCTTAAGGTTTTCAACTACTTTTTATGTGAACTTGGCTTTTGTAACTCGTATTTAAAGCATGCTTAAAAGTAATATTGTATAACACATTTCCATGGAGATATATATGTATAACTTTATATAGATGCAGCAAGGGCACAGCGGCTTTCTAGGTCTCGTCGTCCTGCAGCTCGAGGAATTGTGTACAGATGTCGCGACTGCATTCGCCCTTGTTGTTGAATAGGAATTTATAATAATGGCCGTCCGCACAAATGGCTTCAAAGTGCAAATTAAAAAAGAATAAGGTTATACCCATAAGATGGCATAATATATTCAGAACTTACCCACAACCGAATTGGGATCGGCGCCAAAGGCACAAACACATCGTGGTCCCTGCGGTATTGAGAACTTCACAAAGCTCCATTGGCTCGAAAAATACTTGGGTATTATCGAGGACTCGCGGGGCTTGTTGTCCTCCAGGTTGAAGACGTGTATGGTGCCATGATCGGAGGCCACCACCACCATGGTGGACTGGTGGTTAAAGTTAATGCAGAAGATGTTGGCATGGTTGCTGCCCCGCCTCAGTTCCGATACCTTCTTGCCGCTCTCCGTGTCAAAGATTCGGATGAGGGTGCCCTTCTCACCGGCGGTGGCCAGTCGCGTGCCCTGCAGGTTCAAGGCAATGCAGCTGATGCCTGCCTCGTGGGCGATCACCTCTAGCGGCGCCCGTTCCGTGTTAGCCAAATCAACGATCTGAACGTGACCAGTGCGCCGGCCGGGGAATGCGAGAAGGCTCTTGTTGCTGTGTGGGCACAGTACGCACAAGCCATTGGGATTGGAGCTCGTCTCAAACACATGCAGCTGCTGCGGCTGCTGCGTGAAGGTGAATACCTTGATCACACCCTCCAGCACAACGACGATGCGATCCCTACGGAGCCGCACCGCACGCACCGGCTGGTTGAAGTCCAACGATATGGCCGGCGACTTCTTTAGGTCGTCCCACACGATAACCTTATTGGGCGGATACAGTGGCCGGATGCCACCGCCCACCAAAGCCAGGTAATTGCACCTGAACAGCATCTCCACATGGCTCAGGCCACCTAAGAAAAACAATGGATTTATTTGTAGGCCGTGGGAAATCCGGATTTTCTTCGCTTTCCCTATCTGTACCTTCTGGGAAGTATTGGCGTTCCTTTTCCTTCAGCGGATCACAGTTGTAGACCCGGAACCCTGTGTCCGTCGCACAGGCAAAGCATCCTGCAACGCAATAGGTAAGTTATAGTATATGGACACCGCAGTATATGAAGTTTATATGTAAACAAGCACCGTACCCTGGTCTTGGTTAAAGGCTGCATAGAGCAGCCCGTTTCCGTACGGGTTTTGCTCCGTAAGGTTCATTGCACGCTCCGCGGGATGTTGGGGACCAGGCGGCCACTAACCACTTCCGTTTCAATTGTTGGACAGAAAAACAAACCAGTGGACGGTACTACGGATGAGATGGATTTTTTTTTCGTATAAAAACAATGGTTCTAGTGTGACCGAACTGCGCAAAGTGCTACGATTCGATACCCGCCGATGTTTGATAACAGATTACACGCCCACCGGCGACCGATTCTCGTTAATTAAATTTAATTGCTTGTTAATTAACTTTATTGGTTACCTGGTGAACACCATAGAAAGAGATTTCTTCGTGATTTAAATGTTATTATTAGCTAGAAAATTAATTTTTTGCTAGTCTTGCAAACGAGAACAAATCAGCTTGGCTTAATATTAAAATTCCAGTGTCTTTTTAACTGTGCAATCCTAACAGCAACAAGTTTTGACGTTCATACTTTGATTTGTTTTAATAAATTGTAAGCGCCGGTTTGAACAAACCACTTTTCTTGTCGATAAATGTAATCGATATTTCGACACCTACTGACCAAATATAAAAACACAAATAAACTTCCACTCGCTCAGGTCACATTTGCTTTAAAATTATGGAGTTCAACACGGATCTCTGCTTCGCGGAGGACTCCATCGAGCCGTGTCGAGCCTGCGGCATATATTTCACACATGGCCTGGGCTTGGACCAGGAGCTCGTGAAACCCTTGTTCGACACGGATGACGCCGCATCTCCCACGGACATGGTGGAAATTCTGGAGCAGATGAGCGCTTGGAAAATGCATGTAAGTAAACTGCCTTTCTGTAAACCCTGTGACTAACACTCGTCAACTTAGGTGGCGCGAGATGATGGGAGACCGCAGTACATGTGCATCAGCTGCATCGCTGAATTTCGAAAGCTGCTCAAGTTCAAGCGCAGTTGCCTCGAGACCCAGGAGCAGTTTGGAGAGCTGGAATTGCAGCGGGAGCACAACGGCGTGGTGATCAAGCGCGAGATCGAAGCCGAACCGGATGAGAAGTTCTGCGGATTTGTCTACCTCGATATATCCGACGAGGAGGAGATCAGCGACGAAGATGGCAGCAGACGCGTCTCCGCCGCCTTCGATATACCGCATGTGCCGATCAAGGAAGAGCACATGGCCCGTGTTCCAATTCAAAGCAAAACGACATTCCTGCCGCCAGAGCCCAAGGAGCTCGGGCCATCTATCGAGTCTAATTTTAAGGAGATGGAAAGCGATAAGCTGAACGGGATGTTTTGCGATGATGATTTTCAGGAGGAGGAGGAGGAGGACGTGATCATCAAATTTACTTACGACGATGACGACGAAGCGGCTGCAACGGTGCCACAGCCCTTGGTTGAATCGCAGGCGGTTGTGTCGTGTAAGCTCTGTTCCTACGATTCGCCCAACGAGGAGGCGCACCTGGAACACATGCAGCGAATGCACCTGCTAAAAGACTGGGAGTGCCACTACTGTGCCAAAAAGTTCACCAGTGCCCCGGAGTCTCGCATCAAGTTTCACATGAAGTGGCACAAGCTGCAGCGCCATCTCAAATGTCCCATGTGCGGCTTTTTCTGCAGCTCCAAAGAAACGCTAAAGACGCACAAGAAGGCCGTTCACACGCGGACTAAGTGCACTTTCTGCGGAAAAAGTGAGTAAAGTGTACAATTTTAATTGATCTATTTCACATTAATATATATAAATACGTGTATGTATAATTTCAGACATAAGAACGAACTTAATGCAGCGACATTTAAAAACGCATTTGGAAGGTATGTAAACTTTAAACATGGTTTTACCAATATTGCTAAACATTTATATTTTGAACTACAGATAGCACCGACCAACTGAATTTATTGCACCAACCGGAGGTCGATGTGGAGACCTTTTCACCTACAGCGGTTCCTATTATTCCAGAGACGACTGGCAGTCCAGAGCCTTTATCTCCTGCGGAATCTCCACTTCCACTGGCATCAACAACTCCTGAAGAAGAAGACTTTTGTGTCTCTGCCACCACAGAGGATGTTCCTGCCGAAGAAGAATCTGCTTCTGCGTTGGAGCCGCCTGCCATCGTTGACTCTCCTGAACCGGATTATTCCGTTAACGATATTTGTGTCGTACAGTGCGCGTTCTGCAGCCACACCTTCGACGATACTGTGCAACTGGGAGCTCATGTGCTGGCCACACATAGAAAACCAAAAAAGAGACTGCATTCTCCAGACAAGACTCCGCCGTCCATTAAGCCGGCGAAGGTCAGTAAGCAAGAGATCGAGAATATCCTACCTTTAGCCACGCCGACGGAAGAAACATTCGCGGAAGATGGCAACTTCAATATAATAGATGGGAGCCTCAATGGTAGCTCCCTATACTCCGAACACAAACACCAGAATGATAACAATAAACCCTACTCGCGGTGTCCAATTTGCCACAAGACGTTCACTCTGAAGTTCAAACTAAATCGACACATGGCGAAGCACAAGCCGCCAATCTGAGGAATTTCTAGTTTAAAGCCATAAAATATTATTTTTTTTACTGTCCCTAAGCAAAGATTCTTAACTCTTAATACTAAAGAAGTATTAGTAAATTTCACTTATGTTGAACCATGTGACAAACATTAAATATTATGTTCCTCAATTTCATTTCATTTGAGATTTCTTTTCAGTTTCCGTGTTAAAACATGTAACTTTTAAGGTTAAGCTAGGTATTACGAAATATGAAATATGAAATATAAAGAAAACAACAAGCAACACGTCGTTAGTTTCATCTGAGTTTTATTGGGTGTGTCTCTCTATACGTAATATAATTATTTATAAATTGTGTTTTCCATAAAATGGGGTTCATTGATAGGGAGGAATTTCTCTCTCTACTTTGAAAACTTTTCGCCTAAATAAATCAAATTACAATTTAGTTTTAAAACAAAATTTAAGAAAAATAACCGAAGGAAGAAGGGTAAACAATGTGGTTAAACAAGCCTCTTCACTCTCGATGCAAAGCTTCCTCCTTCCAGTTAATTGCCACTTCCTGTGGCCGTCTTGAGTACCGTGGCCGGGATCAGTTTGGTGGCAAGCGCCTTCCCGGTCGCTTCTCCTCCAGCCACCGTCGTAACGGAGATTTTGCCACCAGACGATGCTCCGGCCGCCGATGCCATTGGTATCACCTTCAAGCTAGACAGAGGCTTTAGGTTTAGACCCTGCAAGCCCGGCGAAAAGTACAGCTGACCGCCATTGCCTTGCACGGCGAACACTAGATTATTCCCAGCTGTCGCAGTCGTTGCCGCTGGAGATGCTGTTGTCGTGGCGGTACTGGTAATCTGCTTGTTAGCCACCAGCATATTCTTGGCCAGTCGCAGTGTTTGTGTGCCGCCAGCTCCAATAAGCAGCGTTTTGGGCGCCGTGGTTATACCGCCGCCAGAGGAAGTGGTTACACTGTTGTTACTGCTGCTGCTGGTGGCCAGGCGGAGCAGTTGATTTCCCATAATAACGGTCTGTACGGGTGTAGATCCGGCAGGTCGAGCGGGAATCTGTAACATAAACATTGTATTATGAATGGATATTTAATGCAATGCAATCGATATAAATTGATATTTGAACTTTGTCGATTTTTCCCCTCGATATACACATTTAAGTATATATTCCTAGTACCAGCAGTTGCTTGTCTAACAGCTTTATATATCAAATGTCTTTGATTACTCACCGCTCCCTGTAGCTTCATGGTCTGCCCGCCAATCACAATGTTCTGAGTTGTTCGCACGGCATTTGCAGTCACACCTGCTCCAGAGACCACTGCCCCGGAAGCCGCGCCTGCCGAAGCCACCGTAGTGGTGGCCGTGGTTGTGGTCTGGGTGATGGCGACACTGTTACCGCCCAGCTGTTTTAGCTGCTTGGCATGCACCAGCAAAGGTTTACCTGGCAACACCGTCGTTTTGCCAATGATCTTGGGCATTATGGTGGTTCCACCAGGTCCTCCTCCGCCAACTGTCGTTGTTGCAGTTGCACTTACAATGCGTGCCATTGTGGGCATTTGTTTGGTCGGTTGGTTGGGGCTCAAGGTAATCACATTACCCGCCGAGGAATTGGCCAGATGAATTATATTGTTACCGGCCGAAGTAAGAAGCTTGCCGCCGCCAGCAGGCTTACTTTGTAAGCTGTCCAGGGTGATGATATGACCCGTTCCCTGAGTGGCGTTCCCTGCAGTACCCACTGCAGCTGTCGCTGGCGTTGCTCGAATCACGCGAGTGGCTGCTCCGGTTTGGTTGGTGGCCACCCCCGGTTGCTTGAAATTCTGTAGCACAATCCTTTGTTGCTGTTGCGGCGACACACTCGTTGTCGCTGACTTGACCACGGGGCTACTGGGCGATGTGGCGAGTATTTTGGGACCTGATTTCGGCAGCGCCTGGAATACGATTTTCTTGTTCGATGAAATGGCCGTGTTTCCTATCAAGAAAAAGGGGTTTTTCTGATTAGTCAAATTTTAATTCTTGAATTATTTATACTTGGCAGACTTACCCACAATGATCCTTTGCTGCGGTGAGCTTTGGACTGGACTGACACTGCTGTTCACCTTCACCTGTTTCAGCTGTTGCTGCTGGAGACTGGCAAAGGCCTGGGGCGACATCTTCACAATGGTTCCGCCACCGGTGACGGGGGAACTCGTCGTTGTAGTGATGGGCACGGGATTTGAAGCTTCTGTGGCGGAAATACTCGTCACCGGTTTGCTGGCGACAATCGAAACTGCGCCGATCTTTTGTTGTACAGGTCGCACCGTCTGGGATTGGGGCATCACTCGGGGTCCAAGAATCTGCACAGACGATGGCTTCGACGAAGTCACCGTGGGGTTTCCAGCTATGGTGGTCCCTCCCACGGCGGGCAACAGTCGTATAATGTTCTTGGGCATCTGAGGTCGTGGCGTTATGGTTAGAGCCTTGGGTTTTCCGGCCACCGGTTGTACCTGCAGTTGCACCTGCTGCTGTTGTTGTTGTTGTTGCTGCTGCGGCTGCTGCTGTTGCTCCATGGGTATAATAAAGTTACCTATCTTACTGTTGGGAGTGGGCTTCTTGATGGTCAGCTTCTTGGTCACTACAGAGGGGGGACGGATCCCAGCGATTGATTCGGTGTCGTGGCCACATGCACAGTTTGAAAGCCACTTGGCGTGGACACCAGAATGGGCGTGGTGTTGCGTGTTGGACTGATCTTGGAGATCGCAAAGTTGCCAGCCTTGGCAGTAGCCACCGGTCGTTGAACGGTCGTTGGAGCAGGAATGGGAAGAGCCACGGGCTTAAGCAGAGATTTCTGTACCTGCTGTAGGGGATTCGGATTCGGATTTGGATTGGTGAGGAGGAGGAGGCTGCTACTATCGTTCCCACACTGCCAGTGGCGCCGGGTGGTATGTGGTATTTGAGAGGCGGCACAGGAGGACATTTCACGCCCATTGGCTTCTTCACCTGCACAACAGAAACCGTGGGAACTTGCACTGGTGACACCACTGCGGGCACCAAGGCTGGCAGTTGCTCCGGCTGTGGGTGGACGTCCAGTAGCACTCCAGATCCTTCACTGCCGTCCGCGTTCTTTGGCCTGGCCAACTGTTTCCGCTGCTGTTGCTTCTGCTTCACCAAGGATTGATTCTGCCGATGCATCCTCTCGAACTCAGCCTCGCTACGATTGCGGTGTAAATAGATCCAGATCTTTCGCCTTGCGTCGTACTTTACGCAAGGATCCTGTCCGCCATGCATGCGATCCAAGGCTCCGCTCACGATGGTCTGCAGCACATTATCCGCCGCCTGTTGGCTCACATACTGGGAGCACTTGAGCAGCTCGGAGATCTCGGCGCGGGTTCCCTCTCCGTTTGGCAGCCGTGCGGTCGCATCTCGCACCAGCGTAAGGATGGTCACGAATGGCGGTCGGTCGTCCACCATCACAGCATGACCTCTCGCCTTGTTCAGCGGCAGACTTTGAGTGTAGATTCCCTTCACTGGTCCAACAACACTTTCGTATCCGTTGAGGCGGTAGGTGAACGGCCGGTGCGGATACTCGAAGCGAATACGCTCCTGCCGCTGGAACTCAAGGATCTCCGCCTGGCTGGCCGTGCGCACAGTCCAGGTGGTGGGACATCTGGGCGGCGGCGTGGGAGATGCATCCACCAGATTCAAGTACGCATTCGAGTTCAGTACTGGACTAAGTTGAGACTGCTCCTCTCGTTGACTTCTCAGCCAGCTGTGGCACAGACCCTGCAGTCGTGTGTCCGAGTCCCGGCCAGCGCCTATCCATTGGTAAATCCCCAACTGCGTCTTGTGCTCAATGTACGGCACATACTCCGGCGGCAGGGAGCCAAAGTCCCCGGACAAGAAATTGATGGCGGATTGCAGCAGCTTGGACCAATCCGGCACGGATCGTTGCCAGTCCCCCGTGGGTATGACCGAGTCCGAGTTGATTTCCCGCCAGCTGGACAGCAGGATTTGTAATTCGCCGTAGGTAAGTCGGTGCTGCGGCGTGGAAACAAACAGATCCCGTAGCAGCGAGAAGAAGGAGGCAGGACGGGGGGAAGCCGGCGGTCGGATAAGCACTTCCCTAGTGGGACTGCCGGTGATGTGACCAGCAGTTGGAGACGCTGCTGCTGCCGGCGGATTGCTGGAGAGATTATGAGGTAGCGTGGGACTCGGACTGGAGTTAGCAATCGGTCCATTCAACGGCTCTAGTTTGGGCACGGGCTGGGGAACAAGAGCAGGTGCTATTTTCTTTGGCATGGTCTTCGTTTCCCTCGGGCTGGGCAGGTGCTCCTGTTCCGGCTGGTCTTCTTCTGGCGCCCGACGACCGTACACCTGCTGCGGTTCATCCAGGAGCATGGGTTCTGCCTCTTCCCCGAACTCGCTCCTGTTCGGCGTGCCTCCTCCAATAGGTACCAAGGCAGGTGGATCGGGATTGAGTCGGGCCATCAGCGCTTTTGGTTTTCGACCTGGCTTGAAGCTTCCCACAAATTGGGCCCGTGTGCAGATGTCGCGTAGGCGCACCTCTGAGGTGTCGAACTCGGGACTGTCCTGTAATGTGAAAGATTATTGGTTTACTAAAGTTTTTGTTTTTATAATTAGAATATTATTTTTATGTGAGGTCCTACTAGGTAGTAGCTTATATTAAACCGTCTCACTTACCGGCTGCTCCACCTTCCGACGCTTGTAATCCCTTAAATACTTTCGAAAATTCTTGTCGTTCAACTGGGGAATCCTCTCCTCTTGCATGAATCGCAGCACCTGCTCATCGTCCACACCCGGCCGCCGCTTAAAGAAGGTATTATAAATGCATTTCTTGTCCGCCGCATTTGAGGGTCGTCCAGGTCCCGCCGGCTCCGGAGCCCTGGGCTCCTCAAGTTTAAACTCCAGCGGCGTTTTGGTCAGCCGCTCAATTAGCTGGGAGCACTCCTCGTCCTCCTCTTCCTCCTCGGCACTGATGTCGCCAACCTTTAGCTCACATTCGCCCATACAATCCAGGAGCTCCTGGGCGTACCGTTTCTTGGCTCGTTGCGAGCAAAATCGATTCTCCATGGAAAGCGTTGGCGGTTTCCGTTTGCGAGGCCTTTGTCTTGGCAGGGATTTCCCAAAGGCTCCTTCAGCGGGCGGGGCAGAGGTATAAGCATGCTGCAACAGTTGCTCCCTTGAGAGAAAGAGCTCCTTAGCCAGCTGGCTTAAACGTTCCGCCTGCTGAAAACGGAATTCCCTTCGGCTCGAGTGTTGGATGCTCCGGCGAAGCTGTAGGACATCGGGCCGCAGGTTGCCCTCCTCAAGCTGACGCTGCAGCTGGAGCAGCGGGGACTGCCCGAAACGCTGAAGGCCGCCGTTGAAGAGCTGGACCAAGGTGCGCTGCTGCTCGGCGCTAGCCTGCGCCTGTCCGGAAACCAAGCTGGAGAAATTTGGCAGCAGCGGCTGCAGGCGGGCCTGGACGTGGTGGGGCAACAGCTGCCAGGTCTCCATGGAAAAGAACTCGTGGAATATGGCCGAGTTCTCGCACAAGCCCCGGGGCAGTCTGAAGATATCCCTTCCGCTGAGCTGTGCCAACTCCACCTCGTCCGACTGGCAGGTGGTGGTGTCATCCTCCGTCTCCGAACCGGAGTCAGAGAACTCTTCGTCCTCGTCCTGATCTTCCTCTAGCGAACCACCGCTCGATGAGGAGCCACTGCTACTGCTCGAAACACGACTCCGCTGGCTGCTACCAGAGCTGCTGCTACTGCTGCTGTCGCTCATCCGGCCGTCCACCTCCTCCTCCTCATCGGAGTCAGCACTTCGACTCGCAATCGGATTTGGAATTGGATTTGGCTTTGGACTAGGCCTGGGCATGGTGTTTATGTTTAGGTTGCTGCTCATCGCCACCAGTTCGTCAGCAGATTTTTTCCGGAACAGCGCCGCGATTTTTTCTCTACACTAATTTACAATTTTTGTCTCTTACGCCGCTGCTGGTCCTGCCTCGTTATATCAATCATGGCATTAGCTGGTTGTTTTCTTCTTTTTTATTGCTTCGCAGCATGTTTTCTCTACGATTTTTTCAGCATTCCTCGGGCAGCGCGGTCATTCCGCGACGAGTTGGCAGGTCGCCGCAGCACGTTAGTGGTGACCCGATGTCCCGGTGGCGGCTTTCGAGTTTTATGCAATATAAACAAATGGTTTTATGATCATTTAAAGGGTTAATTGACGGCATTGACGCAACAACGCTGCCAGTGGGTCTTAAATGTGTTATGACATTTTTGCTCCAGGTGACAAAATGTTAAAGAAGTGTAGAATTACGGTAGATCGATAGGGATGAGACGATAGTCACGGTGTCAATACTGTGACTCATTTAAAAAAATTTAATAACAATTTATAAACAGTAATCTTAAGGGCTTTTACTTCAAAGCTACGCAAATGACGAGTTGTTATAAAAAATATCCGGCACAGCAAAATAATAGAAAATATAGAAAAGCAGAAATAACGTTAACAAAACCGTGACTGAAATCACTGCCAAAAACAGAAGGTTGCGCCAGAAGTGGCACTCACCCGGAGACGGCCACACTAAGATTTTCCCTGTGTATACCCAGAATTTTGTGGCAGCGGCTTTTCGCTGGCAACAATTTTTCCGCTGTAAAATTAACAATTAACAAATCGCAGAAAGAAGCTTAATTAAGCTGGTGAGAGCCATGGATTTTCTAAGCATCGACTAGCAGGTGAATAAATCCCGAAAGAGTAAAATAAAACTTTATTTTCACGGCACAAACCATTGGTGTGCCGAATAAATAATAAATGTTCATATAGTGCCGACGCCACAAAAAGAGACAGACGCAGATTGCAAAAAAAAGGTAGAAAAAGAAATGAGAACAAGAGAGAGAAAAGAAGAAGACAAATCGAAGAAGAAGAAGGAACGAAGCGAAGAACGCGCGGCAAATGCCAAGAAATACCATTAGTTTTTGTTGTGTGCAATAGAAAAAGTAACGCCATCAACCGCATTTCTTGCAGATCTACTGACTTGCTGAGCGGTCGAATCAGCCGGTTACCTATGGGAAAGAAAAAGACCGACGCCCGTGACACAGATGCCTCAACCACCCCGCTGACCACAGACAACTCTACGTCCGAATCGGAATCAGACTCTGGTTCCAGTGTCAAGGCAAAACGAAAATCAAAGCCCCGGGCGAAAAAAATAATGTCAAACGGCCGAGAATTATCACCAGCAGCTCCAGCTCCGATACCGAGCGAGCAGTAGCCGCGTCCACAGCTAGTTCCGTGGAAGACGCAGATCAAAAACCCGCCCCTAAGATTCGTATTGTGCCGCTGGCACAGCTGCTGGCCAGTCCTAAGACCAAGAAGAGGAGTAACATCAAGGAGAATCCGACGTTGGTGGACCAGGAGTCCAGCAAATCGGGCCAATTTCGCATTAGGCCGCTGGAACAGCTGCTGGCCACTCCACCTGACCAGTCGAACATTCGACCACTCCAAAGGCTTCTAAGCAGTCCCACCAACCAGTTGCCCAGAACTCGGGAAAGGGAGGACAAGCCGCAGGAGTCGCGTTCTGTGTTGCCACCACGCAGAAGTCGGAACAAGAACGTTTCCATTATCGAGTTAAGTACCAGTGAAGAGGAAGAGGATCTGTTGGATAAACCGCCTCCTAAAGAAGTAGAAAAAAATAAAGCAGAAAAATCCTCGAAAGCGAGCTCTCCACCAGCAAAGACACCTGAGAGCAGGACTGTATCATCCAGCGAGAACGAGGAAAATCTTCTGATTCCACTGGTCAAAAATAAGAGGGAAAAACAACAGAAGAAGGAACAACTGTTGGATAAACCGAGCCCGCCACCAGCAAAGAGTCCTGAAAGCAGGACAATCTCATCCAGCGAGGGTGAGGAAAATCTTCTGATTCCACTCGTCGAAAAGAAGAAGGAAAAACAACAGAAGAAACAACTGTTGGATAAACCGTCGCTTAAAGAAGTAGAAAAAAAGAAATCAGACAAATCCTCCAAAGCGAGCTCTCCACCAGCAAAGAGTCCTGAAAGCAGGACAATCTCATCCAGCGAGGACGAGGGAAATCTTCTGATTCCACTGGTCAAAAATAAGAGTGACAAACAACAGAAGGAACAACCGTCGCTTAAAGAAGTAGAAAAAAAGAAAGCAGACAAATCCTCCAAAGCGAGCTCTCCACCAGCAAAGAGTCCTGAAAGCAGGACAGGGTCAACCAGCGAGGACGAGGAAAATCTTCTAGTTCCACTGGTCAAAAAGAAGAAAGAAAAACAACAACAGAAGGAGCAACAGTCGCTTAAAGAAGTAGAAAAAAAGAAATCAGACAAATCCTCCAAAGCGAGATCTTCACCAGCAAAGAGACCTGAAAGCAGGACAGTCTCATCTAGCGAGGACGAGGAAAATCTTCTGATTCCACTGGTCAAAAAGAATAAAGAAAAACAACAGAAGAAGGAACCACTAAAGAACGGTAACAGCAAGCGGAAAAGGGAGCGCAAGAAGTCCACAAGCAGCGATAGATCGCGCCAAACCAGCTCGTCTCGCTCTGATACTCCTGTTAGCAAGGCATCCTCAAAGGCCAGGGAATCGCCAGTCAACGGAAAGTCCTCGAAAGCCAGCTGTTCGCGAGCTGTCGCACCGCCTAAAATCAAGCGCTGTGTGGTGCGCTTGAAGCGTGTCACCTTGCCAAACAAACCAAATCCCGCCCAAAAGAAGCATAAAATGAGCACAGATTCCGAGGAGGCGGCCACCACCTCCAAGAAGAGTCGTCAGCGGCGATCCAAAAGCGAAAGCGAACCGGACTCTGATTTTGAGGCACTAATAGAGCAGGTAGAGTCCGAGGAGGAGGAGGAAAAGAAGTCAAGCGAGGATGAGGCGGCTGAGGAGGAGGCGCACAGTAGCGACAGCGAGGTGATACCGCAGCGCAAGAGGCGCAAGGCCAAAAGCGACTCCGACAAGGGTTCCTCCGACTTTGAACCGGATGAAAAGACTTCAAAGAAGAAGCGCAAGCGCATCAAGAAGAACTCCAGCGGGGAGAGTGAAGATGGCGACGATGAGAAGCAGAAGAACAAACGCAAGCACATCCGAAAGATCATCAAGGCAAAGGATCTGGATGTGACCACCAAGGAGGCGGCCAAAGAGGAGGACGACAGGAAGAAACGCATTGAGGAGCGCCAGAAGTTGTACAATCGAATCTTTGAAAAATCTGAGAGCGTTGAGATTAACGAACTGGTTCTGGACTTTGACGAGGAGTCTAAAAAGGCTCTGCTGCAGGTGGACAAGGGACTGGTGAAGAAGCTAAAGCCCCATCAGATGGCGGGCGTCAAGTTTATGTGGGATGCCTGCTTCGAGACGCTGAAGGACGCCGAAGAGAAACCCGGCTCAGGTTGCATCTTGGCCCACTGTATGGGTTTGGGCAAAACCCTACAGGTGGTTACCTTATCGCACACGCTACTGGTAAACTCAAGTCGTACGGGTGTTGACCGCGTCCTGGTTATCTCACCGCTAAGCACGGTGAATAATTGGGCCCGGGAGTTTCATCAGTGGATGAAGTTTGCCAACCGCAAGGACATCGAGGTGTATGACATCTCGCGCTACAAGGACAAGCCGACGCGCATCTTTAAGCTTAACGAATGGTTTAACGAGGGCGGCGTCTGCATCCTCGGCTACGACATGTACCGTATCCTCTCAAACGAAAAGGCCAAGGGCTTACGCAAGAAGCAGCGCGAGCAGCTACAGCAGGCCCTGGCTGACCCCGGACCGGATCTGGTGGTCTGTGACGAGGGACATCTGCTCAAGAACGAGAAGACCTCGATTAGCAAGGCGGTCACCCGGATGCGCACCAAGCGTCGGGTTGTCCTCACCGGCACCCCGCTACAAAATAATCTCAGAGAATGTAAGTTTTCTTTTATTTGAATCTAAATAATTTTGATAATTATGGGCTAATTGGAAACCTCTTTTCATAATTCAGATTACTGCATGATTCAGTTTGTGAAACCGAATCTGTTGGGCACTTACAAGGAGTACATGAATCGCTTCGTAAATCCCATCAGCAACGGCCAGTATACGGACTCCACGGAGCGGGATCTACGCCTGATGAAGCACCGCTCGCACATCCTGCACAAGCTGCTTGAGGGCTGCATACAGCGCAGGGATTACTCAGTTCTTGCACCCTATTTGCCTCCAAAGCACGAGTATGTGGTATACACGACGCTGTCCGAGCTTCAGCAGAAGCTTTATGGTTACTATATGACCACGCACCGGGAGCAGAGCAGCTCCGACATCTGTGGCAAGGGAGCGCGGTTATTCCAGGACTTTCAGGATCTACGACGCATCTGGACGCACCCGATGAACCTGCGGGTAAATAGCGATAATGTGATTGCTAAGCGTCTGCTCAGCAACGATGACTCGGATATAGACGGCTTCATCTGCGACGAGACCGATGAGGAGGAAGCCGCCTCTAACTCGTCAGACAGTTGTGACTCCTTCAAGTCGGACGCGAGCATGTCGGATTGGCAGCGGGCTCTGGCAAGGCGAAAAAGCGAAAAACTCGCAATGGTAACAATAACGCTGGCAACGCTGACAGCGATTCCGATGTAGAGTTGCTGAGCGGATTACCAAGTGGAGCCAATGCCCAGAAGGATGATCCCTCCGAGTGGTGGAAGCCGTTCGTCGAGGAGCGAGAGCTGAACAATGTGCACCATTCCCCCAAGCTTCTGATTCTACTGCGACTGCTGCAGGAGTGCGAGGCCATTGGCGACAAGCTGCTAGTTTTCTCGCAATCCTTGCAGTCGCTGGACGTCATTGAGCACTTCCTGTCGCTGGTGGACAGCAACACAAAGAACTACGAGTTTGAAGGTAAGTTGGAGGATCTCTTTATAGGTACGAAATAATAATATAAATTCTCTCAGGTGACGTTGGTGACTTCAAGGGCTGCTGGACGAACGGCAAGGACTACTTCCGGCTGGACGGCAGCTGTAGTGTTGAGCAGCGCGAGGCTATGTGCAAGCAATTCAACAATATAACCAATTTGCGAGCCCGCCTCTTTCTCATCTCCACGCGAGCCGGTGGCCTGGGCATCAATCTGGTGGCAGCCAATAGAGTGGTCATCTTCGATGTCTCCTGGAATCCCTCACACGACACCCAAAGCATATTCCGAGTGTACCGCTTTGGGCAGATCAAGCCGTGCTACATCTACCGCCTTATAGCCATGGGCACCATGGAGCAAAAGGTTTACGAACGACAGGTGGCCAAGCAGGCCACGGCCAAGCGAGTGATCGACGAGCAGCAGATCTCGCGGCACTACAACCAAACCGACCTGATGGAGCTGTACTCGTACGAGCTGAAACCGAGCGCAGAGCGTGAGATGCCGATTCTGCCCAAAGATCGGTTGTTTGCCGAGATTCTCACTGAGCACGACAAGTTGATCTTTAAGTACCACGAGCACGACTCACTGCTGGAACAGGAGGAGCACGAGAATCTGACAGAGGAAGAGCGCAAATCTGCTTGGGCCGAGTACGAGGCAGAGAAGACGCGCACCGTGCAGGCGTCGCAGTACATGAGTTACGATAGGAATGCCTTTGGCAATCAGGTTATGGGACAGTTTGGAAACGCCTCCGGCAGTGTAACATCCAACAAGATCTTTGGCTTCCGCTCGGACATCCTGCTGCAGTTGCTGAACATGAAGATATCCAAAGATCATCAGGAACTCACCCAAAACCAGGTCATCCAGCTGGTGCCCACGTATTTGCAGCAGCTGTACAATGAGATGAACAACGGCGATCCAACCATGTATAAGGACCTGCTCGAAATGCACCATAACATCAGGCATCCCAGCGGGATGTACATGAATCCCCTGCTCTACGCCAACCAGCAGTCCTCGTCGGCTGGCTATAATCAGGGCAGTGGCGGTATGCCGACTGGATCGGCACCAACTGGAGCACCTGCTCCTGGTTTCGAGCCGGACACGGTATACGAGATCGACTAAGAACCGATGGCCAGGTGGTTACTCTTTAATTTAATAGTAGGTAATTCGCGTCGACCTTGTCGACTTTTCCTTTTGGACTTACAAGTTACAATTGTGGTTTTTCCTATCTAATTAATTACCAATTACTATTTTACCCGTAAACGAGCATAAGATTGTATTTTCTATCAACTCTCTCAGTTAAGTTCGAAACTGTCCTAATTCATGTGTAGACTTACATTAGATACAAGTTCGAAAAAGGAAAGCATAATATGATTTAAACACGTATATTTACACTATATAGATCAGGCTATATGCATACATACATAGCGCGGATCCGGCTAGGAGACGCAGGAAATTAAATTAACACGCGACAAGATAACAAACAAATAAATGGCACAGATATTATAAATAAATGCGTAACGATTTCTCCTCCATTGAATATTCTTTACAGGTGTAACGGGGGATGTACATATATCTGGAGGCTATGATATATCCACCACAAATCGAACAAGATTAGGATCATGGGTTCGAACGGAAATGACTCCTTCACTGCGTTTTAAGCTTCTGAATAAATTATACTACCTTGTGAAGGGGTATAGAAATACCGCGTTTAATGTTCCAGGCTTTCTTTAAATTTTTCCCCATTTATTAACCAGGTACAAAATCGACGGTGGGTTCGTCGATTCATTTCCAGTATATATAATCTGTTTATTAAACTAAACAAAAGATACACGACAAGTTACAGGCTAAAATTAAGAATCCCCTCCTCATTTGGGCGGCAGCTTACCCATCATGCGGAGCTGCTGCATCTGCTGTGCCTGCAGCATATGCTGCGGACTTGGTTGCATGGCACCGACCGGTGGCATTCCGCCAGGCGGCATTCCTGGCATCATTCCCGGCCTGGGAGGCCCACCACCCATGGGTGACATTCCACCGCCAGGGCCCTGTAGCATGCCAGCACCAATGGGCGGTGTGGGCCGGCTGTGGACCCCTGCTGAATGTCGGAAAGGCAGGCTTTCCACTCCTCCAGGCGGTTGTAGTGCTTCTGGAGCAGCGCCTCCTTGCGCTGAATTTCGATGCTCAGGTCCTGGTTCTCGTCCTTAATGAGCATGTAAGGTTTCAGAGTGGATACCAGGAAGCGCTTTTGCAGGAAGAATGCCTCCATTTGGCGGGCGACGTCAATAAACCGATTGGTGGTCTTCTGCACCTCCAGCTCAATTTCCTCCTTGTTTGTCCCGGAATTAGGTTCCTGCTTGGTCAGCGACAGCAGGCACGACTGGAAGGCCTCCTCAAACTCGTCCATCAGGTTACCGCCGCCGGGCTCGTTGCTGGCCATGATTCTAGCCGTTCTGTTTCCCGGATGTGCGAGTTTTCAGCAATATAAACAATTTTTGTGCCGGTCACCAAAGTAAAACAAAAAAACGCAGACAGGGTTGCCAATACTTGTAAATTGGGATGAAACTCATCGATATCGATTTGTAAAGAATCGAACAATTTAATTTAATGAATTTTCTCATTTTGAATCATTAATAATATTTTGTATGCCTTTTGAAATAATTTAAGACTTCTTAAATATAATTGAACACGAGAAATAGTTAAATGTTCTATAATATTGTCTTTAAAAATCGATAGCTTCGATTAAAAATGAATCGCTCTGCACACATCCCTAGGTCAGGCATGCCGCTTCTGTTTATGTAAACAATTCAAATATCCACCGTATAATGACCACACACATAATTCACCGCTGCCTGCACACGGCTCGCTCCTGTCTCTTGGCCAGAGCTCCGCGGCGCGCCAATCCCGGCCTGGGCTACCAGCTCCAGCAGCTGCAGGAGCAACACCCGGCGCAGTCCAGTGAAGCCAACGAGGATTATGCCGATCTGGAGTCGGACTTTATGGAAGTCCAGAAGACGCATCGCCAGCATGAGCAAGAGCTGCAAAAGCATCGCGATCGCATCCGCCAGTTTATGATCAAACACAAGTACTTCCGCGATGCCAAGTTACCCAATCTTCTGCTGCATGCGGAAAAGGAACAGATGCGGCTGCTTCACGAACGAGATCCGGAGGAGTGGAGCGTGGAGCGGCTGGCGGAGAGTTTCCCCGCCACTCCAGATATTGTGCAAAAAATACTGCGCGCTAAGTGGCGTCCAAGGAGTGTGCAAAGAATCCGCTCCCACGACGAAACCGTTGTCCGGAACTGGCAACAGCTAAAGGCTGGCGAAAATGGGGACTTTAAACTGCCGCCTGCACTCTTTCAACATCTTCAAAAGTTTGCCGAGCGACGGCAACAGGATTTAAAGGAGTTAAAACCCGAGAACTATCCCACAAAGCCACAGTTGCCCATTCCCCAGGCAAACGAGTTTAGAAAACTTCTGGGAAGCAACTCCAAAGCGAACCAGGAGGAGCAGCCATCTCCACAACTCATGTCTGGCTATGAAGCCCCACCTGCAGCTGCCGAAGACGAAACATATCTTTTGGATAAAGTTCGTAACAAGCGTAAGATGCGTCTGCAGGAGCTCAAGGAACTGCAGCTGGTGGAATCCGTCCCCACAGTTCAAGACGCACCTCAACGGCCCCTCGAAAATCCCAGTGGCACCGGCTTTCTGCCCAGTTTCGTACCCAAGTTCGCCAGCAGCGAGATCGTCATCAGTGCAGCGGATCAGCGAAAGTATGAAATAACTCAGGTCAAGGCCCGCATTGTCATTCCGCGGAAGCTCCATCGTCCGGGAGCCACATACCGAGTGGAGGATGCATACTACGATGATGATGGAGAGCTGCTTTATCGCGTCCCAGGAATGACTGGAAAAACAGACGCTTGTTAAACTAGTTTTTGAGTTTTTAATACAAATTGTTAAACCTTTGTTATATAAAAATAAAAATATATAAAGCGTAATTTACACAGATTCTTGTCATGGTTAATGATTGAAAGCGGCAGAGATGAGATCACTGCCTGCCATTAGAGAGTCTGATGCCACCGTAATCTGGGCTCCCGTCAGCTTTGCCACAAAATCGCAGGCGGCTATCTCCGCATAACTGGCTCCGCCAACCACAAAAACAAAGAGATTCCTTAGACGCAATGGGAAAATATCCTGATCTCCACCGCCATTTGTCTTCATTTGGTTAGCATAAGCCTTGGGCGTGGTCTTACCACTCTCCAAATGCAGATGCAAGCCCTCAATCATGGCCAGCTTGGAGGCCAGCTCCTCGGCACTGTTGGTCTTTAGTAAAATCGAACAGAGCTGCGCTACTAATGGAATATAGGTGCCATTGAACACAAAACTGGGGCAGGATTGCAGGCCCCCTGCTTGGTTTTTAGACGAGGATACCGCGTTGCCATCCTGCCCATCGCCGAAGGAGGTAAGAAGCTTTAGACGATTGGCATTTGCTTGGAATTCGGTTTGTTGGAATTTCGGCAACGGAAGATTGGAGAGCAGCTTTGTCGTAGTCGGTGCCTTTTTCTCCGCCAGAAGTGGTGGTAACAATCCCGCCTGTGTCAACTGCTGGAACACACTTAGCTCCTGGTGGCCAAATAGGTTGCAATAATTCCTCGCAAAGCTCTGCAGCTCCTCGGGCGCCACGCCGGCACAATGATGAAGCAGGCACAGTAATCGAAGTGTATTAAAACGTTGGCCATCGGTGGTGAGTAGTTCATCGATTTCGCCAAGCAATCGCTTCCTGGACACGTTATTCAGGATGTCCTCCTCCAAGGTCTGCAATTTCCTGAAGTTCCCCATCATTTTGATGACAATCTCGCTGGCATTCAAATGCCGCAGCACCTTGGCCTTTAGTTCGGTGAGCTTGGGCAGTTTCCTCGCCACATAGTCGTGCATCTCGTCCAGCTGCATGTCACTGAGCTTTTGCAGTTCCAATCCCAAGGCCTTAACCTGAGCTCGAATCAAGCTGCTCGCCTGGGCAAAGTGCTTGTACCGATTATCTCCGTAGATCTCATCGGAGGCGGAGTTCAGGCGAATCGAGCAGGGCTTACTGCTGGCCTGGGCCAATCCTCCTTGGAACTCTTACCTTGGAGTAACTCTACCCTCTGACTGCTGATCTTGTTCTTTGAGTTATCCACCAGAATCTCGCCGGAACGCTGCTGGAAGACCTCCAGGAGAAGGCCGGCATAAATGGCCGGGGTGAGTAAGCTAGCGGGATAGTCCTTATCCCGATCAATGATCAGCCAGCCGCCATAATCGGGTGGATTCGTGGGCTCAGGCACCTTGCCCAGAGCTTGTAGCATTTGCAGCAGCTGAGATGAATGATTTCCAAAGCTAAGTATCACTGAAGGTTTTCCGGTAATCATCTGAAGCAATCTTAGACTTTGTGCTACTGAAGGCAGAGGGGAACTGTTGCCCTGGAGATAGATGCACTCATAGAGCTGTAAAGAATTATATTTATTTATTAGGTACCTTATGATGGTTTCCTTAGATTCACTCACATTGGGCAGCTCCAAGCTAAGCACTCCCTGGTCAAAGTAAATGAAATCCCAGTTGAAGTGATGCAGTTGCACCAATCCCCAAAGACCGGCTTGTTCCAGCAGCGTCTGGAAGTATGAATAGCAACTCGGTACGCAGACAATGTGGTACATTTTCAAAGAGATGTCCGGCATCTCCTTCATGGCCACGGGTTGTAGTTGCCTGAGTAATGTTTGAAAAGTGCCCAAAACACTGCGGATCATAAAAATGTGGACCTGGTCCGCAGCTCGCGGTAAGGATTGCTCCGCATCAAGCTTGTAGATCCTCTGGATGCCTTTCAACCTGGAATCAGCAGTTGAATTTAGGTAAAAACTATTCAATTTTTGAATGAATTACTTTAGCCAGGAGGCGGTGCAAACATGTTCCAGCGGTTTTATCAACGCTGGCTCCAAAATCAACTCCTTCTTTCCAGGTATGGAGCATAGTATCGCTTGGAGCTGCAAGTGAATATATAGCTTAGTTAACAGGTAACATATGCGACCTGGTCTTACCTTTTCTTGAGCCACCAGTTGAAATCCCTGCAGTTTTTTGTCCAGCGACACATCCATTCTTAGGTAAATCAACAAAAACAGCTGATGTGACGGCACAGAAACATCGATAGTTCAAGAAACATCGATGCATCAATGTTTTCATCGATGTTTGCGCAAGAGAGAGAATTCTGTTAATTTAACCTGATAAATAATTCTGTTAATCGTCGGATGAGAGTAGGTCTGTTAATGCATTTTACTTACTATAAAAGAATTCTACTTCTTACATGAGAATTCGACCCCAAAGGTTAGAGTTTTACCTCATATACCTCATCTGTAACCGTGTAGAATGGTTTTTTAGACATGTAAGATGTAAAATGTTAAGTAACAGCTTCGAAAATACATCGATGATTAAAAAGTTCGAAAAATATCGATGCATCGATGTTTTCATCGATGATTCTCCACCTGACTTGCTAGTTTCGATTCAGACTGTCCACCAGTTTCAAAACAAAACTCGTCGTGAGGTCATAGCGCATCTTCGCCGTTTTTCTGTGTTTTTGTCGTGATTCTGCCAGTCGAAAAATCATCTGTTCTTGTCGCGGCGAGTCGTTTTGTAAATTAAAGCCAGCTGAAGGGGCGAAGAAGCAGCCAAAGCAATAACAAAACAGAATGCGGTTCCATTGGGCGAATTGAGCAACGCGATTATCATAATTCTCGGCCGCCGACACACACACGAAAATTAATATAAAATCAAAATAACCCGTGGAATAAATCTGAAAACCAGAGAAAAATCCAAGTACAAGTGTTTATTCGCTCGCTCTCTCTCCGCCGTTCTCCCATTCTCCCGTGTTCGCTCTCCGTGTGTTTATGTCCATGCAGCCAGAGTGTGTGTAAACGTGTCCGTGTCGTGTGAGTGTGTGTGTGTGTTGTGCGTGCGAGCAAGTGTTAGTGATTTTGATATTGTTGTTATTCTGCCTGCTTTCGCGCGAAATACAGCAACAACAACAACAACAACGACCAGCAGCAGCAGCAAATGAGATTGAGATTTCCCATAAAATTAATCAGCAGTTGAAGTCGGAGTCAGCTTTTCCAGTTACCAGGTAAGCCAAAAGCTATTTTTTGTTTATAAATAAATCGGGGCGGCTTGCGGCTCGCGAATGTGGGTGAAATTCGTGCGAAAATACCTGAAATTGTTGGGGCAAGTGACAAAAATAAGCGGTGAGCGGTCTTTGTTGTTGCAGCTTGTTGCATGTTCGCGGCTCCCCTTTGCTCCCCAATTTCGTCGCCAGTGCACGTTTTCCTTTTCGCTCTTGTCCGCTTCTCGCACTCTCTTTTTCGCTTTGTTGCAATTTCTGCCTTTGTCAATCATTATCTCCTCCGGCTGCCAAGTGTGGTTGGTGTTGTTTTCATTTACGTTATGTTTAAGTGGCTAACATTATTTTCTTATAGTCTTCTTCGCGTTTTCTTTCGGTTTCGTTTGTTTTGTGATACCGGTTTCATTTGCCCCATCTCGCTCTATCGCGCTGTGTGCAGGTAGTTGTGCACATAGTTTACTTTTAGATTTTCTATTCTTTGCGCTTCTGTGCGTCTAGAGCGCTCTGCTCCTCCTGCTGCTTCTCGTTCTCCTCATCTTTGCTCTCATCTTCTATTGCCTTCTAATGATCATTGTTGTTGTGGTTGTCTCTCCCAATTATGCTTTATTTGTCTTCTGGGACTGATCTTGCTCTTTCGCCCATTAAAAGTTAATTTTTGTAGGCACTTTTAATGCTTTTATTCGATTTAATTTATGGGTTCTTTTTCGTATTATCATTTGAGAGATTGTCTTTTTCGCAAGAGGCTGTTCAACCTTTGGCTGTTTATTTAAATATTTAAATGTTTATTTTTAATTGTTTCTTTTTTTTTGTGTCTAGAACCTAGATTATTTTTAGCACACGTTTTAGTGATATTAAAACCCCAGTTTGGTAGAGTAACTTAAATTCTCAATAAGAAAATTCCAATTTTTTACTTGAGTGTGCTTAAAATTAATCAAATTTCTTATAGTTTATGCCTATATCTTTACATATTAGAAACCTTGCCTTGAGTCATTAAGTTTTACCTTAGCTCTGTAAATTGTATTGTATAAACTTCACAAAAAATGGGGAATACCTCTGAGTGGAGCGAGGCCAAAGTTGATTTCTCAATTCGATTTTCCATCGGCCAATAAAAACAAATTATAACCAGCAGAGCAAATCGAAATAATTGATTTGCTTTTAGGTAAATAAACACAACCGCCCGAAGGTGATACCAATCACACCCACTCGAAGCTCAAATATTCTCCGAGGCCATAAATTCCTGCAAAAAATCCGCACTAATTAAAACCAGAAACAAATTACACATCAAGAGGGGAGAGAATGAAACTGAAACGGAGAAAGAGACTTGAGAATTTGTGTAAACAGAAATGATTTTGGAAGAGAAAACAAAATAAAAAAACATTTTTTGCAACATGCGTTGCTTTTTCCTTGCCGTCGCTTTTCTTTTTTCTTTTTTCCCCTGGAAAAGAAAAAACGTTTCTGTGCGGAGGCGTGTGAATTTTCGTGTTTTTATTTGATTTCGTTTTTATCTTTTTTTGTTGCTCATTTCGACGCTCACACACATCAAGCCCAATTAGTATTGTTCTTCTGTTGGCATATGGCAAATATTTCCATTTGTCTGTTCTGTGTACATATAAACTGCTTTGTATTAGCTCCAGTTTGCTTTTTTTGTATGATCTCATGTTTGGAGTATAATTCTTTAGGTAATTCTTTTAAATATTTATTTTTTCCCATACTTTGCTGAGCTATTTTTGGCACAATTTCAATTCGCTTTGGAAACACACACGTGTTGGAGATTGCATTTTCAGTTAATTCCCATTTAAGAAAGTCATCGTTCTTTGTCCGGAATAATGTGATTTTTTTAGTATTGAATGAATTGCGTCTTTTGGATGATTTCCTCTTGAAGTAAAAATTTTAGAAAATAGTTAATAATTAGGTTGCCATGATAACTTGGTTAATTTAATAATATATTCCTCTGATAACATATTGCTGTCATTATTTTAACATAATATCAAGTTTATTTTCAAGTTTGTTTGTATTTAACCCCAAAAGAGAATCCGCATTTGATTTGTCTAAAAATTGAAAATATTTGTAGCACAAATATTTACTTATTTAAATTCGGAAACCCAATTTTCGATTTCTTTTTGCTTGTAGCGCCTCGTTTGTCAGCATTTTTATTTCAGCAAACTCATCACGAAAAGTGCTAACAATTGACAATATATCGCACTCATGCGTTGTCGTCCCATTAGGGTGACTCACTTAAAACAGTGACGAATAACAAAGAGCAGAAAATAAAGAATAGAGTCAGATTCTTCAGTTTTCAGTCTTCAGTATTCAGTATTCTTTGGCTTATAATAATAGTGCGGTGAGTTGTGACTTGGTTTTCCTTTCCCTCAACGGGTAAACTCCAAAGACTCTCCAGAAGAATTGCAAAAGTGAAGCCTCTTGAGATATAAAGGGGATATAGAATGACTGAATGACTGACTGACGTTCAAAATGTGTGCTTGCTTGCTGCCTTGGGGCAAAGTATTTTGGCGCGTGTCCAAGTTGAAACAAAGAAAAGCAAAGAGAAGGTGCGGCAAATATAGCGAATAAATCAGTAATGTTTGCCTGTTGTGTGTGTGTGTGTGTGTGTATGACCAGGCCTAAAATATTAACTAACAATAAAAAATCAAGAGAGAAAATGAGAGGGAATATTTTAATGCTACAGATGGAGTAATTCATGAATTCCTAGAATTCTAAAATTGCATAAAGAGAACATGAATTGTGATGATTTGGTGGAATTTAATTAGAGCAAAGTATTTAAGGCTGAATTTAGCATTTGTTATTTATTCTGAAAGATATTTGTTGTTTTGGGATTTGTAACAAGTTTTTAGGAAAAGTTTGTATGGTTTTATATTTGGAAAAACTTTAAAAATAGGTTTGACACATCAAATATCAAGCTAGGAACCCAAATCGAAACTTACTTTCATTTGTAATTAATATTAGAGTAAATTTTATTTAATTAATTTTAATTTTTGTACTATATTTTGATGTTTTGCTAAGAATATACAAATTAAGTTTCCCCCAAATCGATCCATGGACAAACTTTGATCTTTGAGCATGGCAAATTTTCGTTTTTGACCGTTAAGAAATTGCTAATTTAATTGGAAATCCTGGGGAATATTTATGCAAAGCAGCTAGTCAGCCATTAGGTTAACTTGTTTCGGCACGGCCAATTCATTTAGACATCCCATCAGGCCATCGCGAACCTACCTTCCTAACTAACTACCACTCCTTTTCACCTTTCACCTCCCCGCTTTTCAAATAAGCGGCTTTCACAAGTCGTCCGGGTTTTTCACATCTCCGTATCAGCCGCAGCCTAGCCTAGCCGAGCCGGAAAATGACGACACACAAAACGGAGGAGGGAAACATCGGATTTCTTTTTCTTCGTGGCATCTCGAGTTGAGTTCCCTCGAATTTCTCACCTTTCTCAGCAATTTGAGCACGAGGCAACGTGCCACGCATAGCTGAGAAGGCGGAAAAGCGTTTGACGCGACTCCCGGCTCCGTCTTCTGCTACACCACCCACCCCCGCTCCCGCTGGCTTTGTTTATTCGGTTCAGTTTAAATTTCCCGCGATGTCGCCGGCCAAAAAAACAAAAAAGGCGAGGGAAACCAAAACAATTGGGAAAGGCGCAAACACAAAGAAAAAAAGAAGGAAAAACGGAACTAACTAGTTAAGTTAGCTCTCTTAGAAAGTGCCGACAAAGGAGACCAGTGGAGTTTGAAAACTAAAGGGAACCAAGATTTTTCCAAGATTTTTATAAAACAAAACTTATAGTTTTGTTGGTAATATGAAGAATTTCTTTCATATTTTATAGAACAAGTTTCAGTATATTTAAATTAATTTTTTTTTATATTAAACCAATAGGCAAATATTGATTCGATTAGTAGTATTTAAAAATATAGAAATAATCTCAAAGTATTTCTATATTAAGAGGAATGGAAGCTAATTTCGAGATGAAGGTTTTATAAACTTTGCAGTTTGCAATAAA